GCAGTTCAGAAGTGGAACTGTAGCATTGGGGCCAACTCCACCGGGCAACCAAAATAATGTCGTTGAAATTCAAGGAAACGGTGCATGTGTCCAGAAAGGTCCTACAATCGCAGTTGACACCTTCTTTCATGACCCGCAGGAGTCACAGGAGTCGCAGTCACCATCATCCGACGATCCTCCCGTCGAAAAGCCAATCGCTAAAGGCCCTCCCGGCACAAATAGACGGGCCTTACCTGCCCTACTCGAAGCACGTAAGGATAGTGCGGAACAGAAGAAGGACGTTGACCTTGTTCCCGATTCGTTCAGCGACCAGCTAGAACAGCAGATTGCTTCCCAGCTTGAGCAAGACCTAGAGCTTTCTATGGACCTAGAGTTATCTGATGCTAAAGCCCGGGTTTCGACCTCTGCGAAAAAGCGAAAAAGAGACGTTGCTGACACTCGGAAGGACCGGACAAAGCGACTTACTCGTGGTACAGGTCTCTCCGTCGAGGTTGGAAGATGCCCAGGCCCGGACCTCTCCGGATTTACCTCCAATTCTGCAGATCAGACAGCCCTGCAGGAATCGCCCGGTCTAACGAGTGAGATGCAGTCAACAAAATCACAACGGAGTCGTAAGTCAACCAGGCCATCCGCACGCAAAAACCAGCCAAAGGCGACGAATCCAGGCTCTCCCGGTTCGCAGACATGTCCTCAACGAAGATCACTCCGGCTTCGCGGAAGGCCGGCCACTGAAGATGCCGAGGCAACCTCTGGATGCGGAGGATCAGAGATGGACAATGTTTCGAAGGTGGAGCGAGTCGCAGTGTTCGAGCAGACCGGATCAGAAGGCGGTACTGGAGAGGACAACATCCCACAAGTAAAGGCGACTCCATGTGAGCCTCTCGTAGAGAATGGCCCGGAGACTCTCAATGTCTCTGTCCTTGCATCTCTCCGATCCGTTCTCGACTGCATCAAAGGAGCTTCCTTCGAGAAGACCTTTTTGCGGGAAATCGACGATGTTATGTTTGATATTAAAATGGAAGCTCATGAAGCAGTGAGAAGACATGCTGGGTGATGAGAACCTTCCTTTTTTTCCCTTCCCCCCCCCCTTTGCATATATGATTATTATCCCTATTGTATTCTAGATGTGATGGCGCTCTGGACTCTTTCATCAAATCTTTATGCGTTACCCTTTGGTGTTCCAGGTGAGCGTGCTCGATTCTTCTGTTGATTATGTCTTGACACTAGGACTATGCATATGGATGGCGCTGGTATTGGGATCCCTGTTTCTGTAATCTCAGGTGCTCGTTGTTTCAACCAAGCTTTACCTAGTTCTATTATGCTTCTACATGTTTCTTCACATCCATTGCTCCGGATTCAGTGCTTGAGATGATGACTGGGAAGCTCAGTGGAGGAAGCAGACCAGATTTCCTTCTATCAACCTTTAACAAATCTAAACAATTGGGTACCGTTCCATCACATCCATCCACTGCTTTGAACAAACATCTCCTTGCATCAGACGTGGGAACTGACGCTGGCAATCTACAAGTGAAGGTTATCGAATACCACCGTGAAAGGGATATGGAAATTGACCCGAAAACAAATAAAACACATTGTCAGAAAAGCTCGCGCCAACTCACATTGACAAAGCCAAGTTGATGGAAGGCAGCAAGAGCTTTCACTCCATGCTCACAGAAAGCTGGGTCGACTCCGATGATGACACAATTTCCCTGGAAGGCGACAACATTAAGAGTCTTAAGCTCTAGTTTGGACACTTCCATGAGCTTCTATTACTAATTGCACACAACTTGATTTCCATGGCAGAAGTGAGGGAAAATGATTGTGACAGCCAACAAGTACAATTTCAAGTTTGGTTTTGATGAGCATTATCACCCCCTCTCTCTAGAGATGAGATGTAGTTGCACATGTTTTGACTACGGGCTGTGGGCAACCACTGCTCTAATTGCTGTGCTTGATAGCAAGATAGGAACAAAGCGAGGGCAAAACTAGCTTCATCTCAAGAAGACAAGTGACACAGCGAGGCCATGTTTGTTGCCATTTGCTAGCGTCAAGGAGAAGGAGAATTGAAGGGGATTTGATTCAGTTAGCCGTTGATAGTTGGGCCTGTGTACCTGGAAAGTCATCATGAACAGCGTTTGTACGGAGTACCTACCACTAATTTACACTCAATAAGGCCACGATATACTCCGTACGTACATCGGCTCTTTAAGCGACGCCCTGATTTTACTATATGCTCGACCAGTAGGCCGCGTGTGACCCCCTGAAAGCGCAGGTAGTCTAAGTGGTGCTTACAAGGAGCGCCGTCAGGGTGGTTAGTGTCGATGTGCGGTCCCACTCGACCATCAGACTTGTTCGAGACCTGGGTGCGAAATGGGCTCATCCCATCCTCCCCGTCCGTGGATCGCAGTGCGCGCTGCACGATGCCCAGCGACCTCCCTGCGGCGAGCCCCCCAGCAAGCCCCTACTGCGTACCCCGCACTAAATTGCTAGGCTACCCGCCGAGCGCCCGGCCCAGCCAATCACCGGGCGGCAACCACCGCTGGAAGGCACCCGTGGCGGCGGCGGGGCGAACACCAAACAACGGCCAGTGTTATGTCATTTTGCTGTTGGCTCAGACACGCATTGTCTGAGCCCAAGACCGACTGGCCCCTCCAGCTCATATCGGTCCATTGGACGCCAGCTCGCTCTCTGTCCTGCAACTCATCTCTCGACCTGCATTCGCTGGCAAGCAATTGAACTCGGCGACAATGGACCGTTCAAACAAGCCCGCTGCCATTCCAGTCACCTCCTCTCTCCCGCAACCGTCGGTCACCGTTCAGGACGGGAGGGTAGAGGCCTCGCTGGCTTCGGGGGAATCAGTCACAGTTCATCTCTTTGGAGCCACAGTCACCTCATGGAAGCTTGCCAACGGACACGAGCTACTGTTCCTGAGTGAAAAGGCCCATCTGGACGGCTCAAAACCTATTCGTGGTGGAATTCCACTGGTCTTCCCCGTACGCTGAGAGACTAAACATCCCATCCGTTAGATTACTACAGACGACAATAAACTGACTTTGGCTCGCAATGTTTTTGACTTAGGTGTTTGGACCTCCTCCGCAGAATCATGCCACGTCCGCCCTTCCACAACACGGCTTCGTGCGTAATTCCTCATGGGAATTGCTTGGTAAATCTACATCCGAGTCAGAGAGCGGAGCAAGCGTTAAGCTTGACTTTGGCCTCTCAAACTCTATGCTTAGCGACAAGTTCAAAGGCGACTGGCCCTATGAATTTGGCTTGGTCTACAGCGTTACTTTGAGCAAACGAAGCCTGGAGACCTCATTACGGGTACAGAACGAGGGCTTGAAATCGTTTGAATTTCAGACACTGCTGCATTCTTACTTTAAGGTCGAGGTAGGGGCCACACCATCCCCACCGTAGAATTACGGATTCCCCTCCAAGGTGGCTTACACTTGGGCTCTAAATAGGATATCTCCAAAATTCGAGTCCAGAACCTTCAGTCGAAAACATACGTTGATAAAGTCCGGAACGCTGAGATTTTCACAGAATCATCCCCGGCACTCGCAGTTGAAGGGGAGGTAGACCGGGTCTATCAGTCTCTGGACCCCAAAGTGCCAATAGTTATAGCGTCGGAATCTGACAAGCCGATCTTCTCTATTACCCGTGAGTCGCTGAATGACGTCGTTGTGTGGAACCCGTGGATTGAAAAGGCCAAGGGAATGGCCGATTTTGCTCCTGACGAAGCATATAAAAATATGATCTGTGTTGAGGCGGGATCGGTAGTCGGTTGGCAGACCCTTGAGCCGGGTGATACCTGGGAAGGTGGACAGACAATTGAGTGCAAATTATAGTGGTAGAGACGTGGCGCTGCTATCTCGTATAGCACAACTACGTCCTTCCTTGATACATCTCGCTCCATCGCTTTTCTCTCTCCTTTCTTGAAAGAAATGGCACCAGTGACAGGGGATCTGGCGATTTGGGCTTTCATCCAGTTTTCTACAGGCCTAATTATATTCCGAGCGCATGATGGGTCAAGGGCGGAGTTTTCTCCAAGGACGGTTACTGACGACAGGATACCATCAGCTTCAAAGAATCTATGCTAATTGTCAAATTTTCTGACTCTAGACTTCAAATCATTATTTTTGCAGGGTGTATATTCCTCCTGATATGCCCCCATCAATCATCATATAGGGGTTACAGAAACAAAGAAAACGTGTAATTTTACCATGTGGCCTGGAGTTGGACCAGTAGATATCCGAGAATTAAGCATATATTCCTAGCGTGTCTGCCATCTCCAGTCATATTGCGAGTCGCTGAAGCGCATGCTGTAATTAATACCCCGTCTTACCCCCTTTCGTCCTCCTTTTCCTTTATCGCTATTCACCAACGGCACAAGAAGTACACTCCAAGAAGAGTGCAGATGACGATACGGGTCTCTTGTGTAAGTGAACTGTCTCTTGAAGTAATTCTACGGCCTTCATACTTCCTATAGGCAAGTAATCCCGGGTTTTGGCACAGTTAAGTCGTCACCTTGGACGGTTTGCTTCACATTGGACTAACCGTTTCACACGACTGAGATTCATGGTATAGCATTCACCCGGTTATTTGTCGAATATGATCATATCAGGGAACCATTGAAGAAATACTCCGCAAATGCTTCCGCCGCTAGGAAGCAGTTTTCGTTAAACGATGCAATCAAGGTTCCGCCATCCAAAAGAAAGCGGAATATATTCCTCCGTCAACAGTGAGCCGGGATCGTCATCGCCACGAACAGCGATTTAGGATTGGGTAAGCATGGAATTAGCAAGAGGCTTTGCGAAGCGTTATCTTTTGAATAAAAGCTCCGTTTGTACTCCATGATCTCTATATACTTTGTTCAGTGCATCGTGAGAGTTGAGAAACCAGCCCACCCAGCCGGGCAACCTAGCAGTTAAGTTAACTATTGGCCCGCGCTTTTTTCCCGGCAATCGGCAACAATCAAAAAAGCTTGTCTGCACGAGGCCGCTTGGCAAAGGGCATGCCTCCAAGTTCCCGTCACCTTTTGAATGGGATCGCGTTTTGAATCGAGAGATGATCTCGCTGAGTCCGCTTCATCTGAAGATGAGCTTAGCCGACCATTTTCTGATGGCAGCGACCAGCGGCGGCGGATGAGTAATGACGATCATCGTAGCGTGCAATCGGGCACTCCGGACCTAACAGGTGTGATGTCTGAAGTGTCACGCCCTCCGCTCGAGCCTCCGTTCTCTCCTTCCCGCCCCAGACGTCGATACTCGTACAACGAGGAAGACGAGACCACTGCCCTCGATGGCGCTGAGGGTCCTAGCGCGAAGCCGGTGTCGTGGCGCTCGCTTCCGAAAAAGGGCCAGTTGGCCATCATCACCGTTGCCCGTCTAGCAGAGCCTCTTGCACAGACGTCGCTTCAAGCCTATATGTTCCACCAGGTGAAATCCTTCGATCCATCGCTTCCAGACTCTACGGTTTCCACACAAGCAGGTATCTTGCAAGGATGCTTTACTGCTGCGCAGTTTGCTACGGGTGTGATATGGGGACGGCTAGCAGACACCGAATTCTTTGGCAGGAAGCGGGTGTTGCTTATAGGACTGTTTGGTGCCTGCTTATCCTCTGTTGGTTTTGGTCTCTCTAAGTCCTTCGCTGCCGCTGTGGTCTTCCGAATACTAGGCGGTGCATTGAATAGCAATGCGGGAGTGATGAGAGCGATGATTGCAGAGATAATCGAAGGGAAAGAGTAAGTTTATCAAAATATCCGTACACTCCTTGTAAATTTGTTTTTGTTTCGTTTCTGATAGAGATCTACTAGGTATCAGTCGCGAGCGTTTCTGCTTCTACCTATGTGCTTTAACACTGGCATGATCTTGGGACCGATACTTGGTGGGATTCTAGCAGACCCGGTCAAGAACTACCCTGGATTATTTGGTCCCGGCTCCCTGATCGGTGGCAAAGATGGTGTCTGGTGGATGAAGCAATGGCCCTACGCATTACCAAATTTCATCAGTGCATTGTTCATGTTAATCGCACTTGTTGCAGTGTTCTTGGGACTTGATGAAGTAAGCTCTTCCCTGAGCCCACGGATTTCGGATTCCTTGAGCTAACCTTTCCCCCCCCCCTCCAACCACTAGACACACGAGATTGTCAGACATCGTTCCGATTGGGGTCGCTGGTTGTGGAAAAAGGTTGCAAGGCGGCCATCTTCTTACACTTATCGACCGCTCAACCAAACGTTCGACGAAGAAAGAGTGGACTCCATCGACTTACAGCCCAGTGAACCATCTCGATCCGCACCAGCGAGTCCCACGACCAATCGAACACCCACCATCCGTCGCAAGCGCCCTCCGTTTCGACAAGTTTGGACCCGGAACGTTCTCCTTACCCTGCTCACCCACTTCGTGCTTCCACTACACACGAGCGCTTTCAATGCTCTATGTTTCCTATTCCTGCCGGCGCCCCGCGCTCCAAACAGTCGCGAGGGTCTTTTCCTCTTCGGAGGCGGTCTAGGGATGCCCAGCTCTCGCGTCGGCCTAGCAACCGCCATAATTGGAATCATCGGTCTGCCATTCCAGATACTCGTCTACCCGCGATGGCAGTTCCGCCTCGGCACGTTGAGAGCATTCAGGGTATTTTTACCTTTTTCTCCTCTGGCCTACTCATTGGCACCTTTTCTCGTCCTGTTACCAGATCGATCGTATGTCATCTGGCCTGCCCTGTCGGCTGTGATATTCCTGCAGGTCATTTCGAGGACATTTTCTATTCCGGCGACTGTTATCCTGGTTAATAACTCTGTGCCTGATCCCAGCGTCCTAGCCACGGTACATGGTGTAGCGCAAAGTGTCGCATGCGGTGCAAGAGCAGTAGGCCCGCTACTTGCTGGATGGGGATTGGGCCTGGGGTTGAAAAATAACATTGTGGGAGGTGTCTGGTGGGCGCTAGCTTTGATAGCGATACTCAATTGGGCTCTTACTTGGACCATATTTGAGGGAAATACGGAGAAAGGAAAAGGAGATAAAACACACCATTCTCCGTCTCAATGAACAATCGCAAGGGAATGCCGTGCCGACCTGAACGTGATCTTTTGGTTTTGGCTATCCTGTAAAAGAAGTCTGATTTTGTGATCGCATGTTTTGGTATATGTGATCCACACATATATCCAATCCGGGTTATATGTACATACATACATACATACATACATACATACATACATCCGCGCATATATGCTATTAAATCCGAAGCCAGTGCTTTAATCGCCGAGCATTCTCTGTGGATTGTGGGGGTGGCAATGGAGAGATAACCTGGTGGATCCTCATACTTTTTGAAGCATACTTCCTTAATGTCACAAGAGCACTTCAACGCTTTACATCCATATGGCCTGGAAAGATATGCAGGCCAAAACCTCCCGAGTATCCGAAGCTGCTCTTAAACAAGGCAGGGTTTGGCGGACTTCACGCAGCAGATGTAGGCGGCATTATAAACGCACGCAAGGCCCTGATAGGGTCGTTTTCATGTGTTTTCAACAGTTCAATAGCTTTTGGTTTAGCAAGATCAAGTTGTTCAACCTATATATGTTGGAGATTTCGCAGTGAAACAAGGTTGGTTATCCAATAACGAGCAAACCAAATTCCAGCCAGAAGAAAAAGAGGGTTGGCCAGAGAAGTGTAAGCGACACCGTTACTCACCAACATGTTGACATCTTCCGCCTTGACCTTCACTGCAGGCTTCTTGACAACCTTCTCTTCCTCCTTCTTTCCGGCGGGAGTAGTATCTTTCTTCGATGCACCCGTGGCCGCAGCAGCGCTGCCCCCAGCCTTCCCAGTCGCACTCGCAAGAGCCTCCAGCCGACTCATCGCCTTGCCCAGCGCCTCCTGGTCGGCTTTCGAGGGGAGAGCAACCCCCGTCTGGGCATCCTCGGTGGCTGCGGCGGTGGTGTTGAGAGAGGAGAGAGCGACTACAGCGGCGCGATCTTCAGCGTTGGCGGGAAGGTCATCGGGCGCGGTTGAAGCGCTGTCAGCTTTGGCTGCTTGCGTGGCCGAAGGCAGAGGTTCCGCCATTGTGTCCGTGGTCTCCTCCGTACTGGTTTCACGTCGTCTGCGCAAGAGGCCGTGGGGCCGTCGCGTTCAACAGTTATGTACCTAAAACACCCACCCGAAGGCGTCCCGGCAGTATCTCCAGTCATGTGACCGACACCAGAGCTAAAAAAAGAGTCGATCCTTCACAGTAGTTACAAAAGACCACTACGCAAACCGCGAGGACAGCGAGAAGTCATTGTATCTGCTATTCATTAAGGTGCTGTTGGGTCATAAACGGAGTACAAGCACCACTATCAATCTTACGACCGTAATTTCCATCAGCATTTTAATTGGCCATATCATCTATCGTGACGGCTACGAGTATCCCGAATGGACGAATGCCAGCCATACCAGAGATCCGGGAGGAAATAAATCAAAGATTTGCCTTGTCCACGACGCTCTCTTCCACCGCCTAAGTTTACTCAGGATGATTTCCGGAGATTTAAATAAACAAATGCTCGTGCATCTAATGAGAATCTAGTTATGAGGTCAAACTCTCCCTATCATAGAAGATGACTTTGGTGATTCCAGATGCATTGGAGGAGATTATTTTTTTTGTAAACCTCACAAGGGTTGCTGACCTGTGCTAAGCCTATGCACTTTTATGGTGCACATCCTGAGCAGCTTGACCACAAAATCAGAGAAAATCTCAGTGTTCAGATTGTTCCATCAACACAGGATGATCTTGTGATGATGCTGGAACTTCTTTTCAGGGGAGCAAAAAGGCTCTGATGGATTATTGGATGTAGCCCTGTGGCAACCTTGCTATGATGGCGTTGGTTAGCCAACTCACCACCAACAGAACTTATGATCCGAAATGCTCGTTGATTGGACTCTCCAAGCATGCCAAACCATGCGATCTGGCCCCCGGCAACATACTCCACATGTTGCGCTCTGTCCCAATCCGACGCCTATACGGAGTACTCCCTACAGAATGAAGTACATCCCATGACTTTTCGGAACATGCCGGGAGATCTTGACAGAGTGGAATTGCGAAGCCATCCAATCCAACTCGAAAACCAAACCCACTCTATAATACAAAGTAACCATCATCAAAAACGGCCAGAAAGGTAGAACCCGGTGATACCAATACGTCGCCCAATTTTTGCTACATTCAAGTAAATCCCAGGTTGAGAGCTCTTCTTTGCTTCCCAAGGCGCGCGCTAGCATGACTCAAAAGGCTCGGAACTAAAGCCAAAGCGATCTCAGCCCCCGCGATAACAATGACAGGAAGTCATAGAAACCATACCGTCTACATCTCTGTAGGATTTAATCCGATTCTTCATCCTGGTGCTCTTCGGGAGGGTCAAAATAGCGCATTGCGGCTTTGGCGTAGAAGACGGTCTCCATGGTGCCGAAGATGCAGAGGCAAATGATGATCGTGATCTTAACGGGGCGTGAAGCACCTAGTTGATCCAGAATGGGCACCCGGGGCGTCGATGCCGTGGTGGCGCGAGATCCCGGTTTGTTTGTGGTGTCCGATGGCCAGGCATTGCCGTTCCGTCCCTCGTTGATGCATCGGAAATGCGGCATGCCGCGGGGACGTAATGATCGCTGTCGGAAACCCGAAGCTGCTACCATGCGAGTAAGCTGGCCATAGCCGAGCGTGTGCGACAAGTTTGAGGATTGTAGCGATACTATCGCCCTTGGTGCGAGCGAAGGGGGCAATAATGGCATGACCGGCAAGGCAAGTATGGTAAGGTAAAAGATATAGCTTTAGATAAAGAAATCTGCCACCGAAGGCTCAAGACGATGGAGCAATGGACAATGAGAAGATCCAACAAGGGGCGGATACAATAAATAAATAGATAACCTCACGAAAGTTGAGAGCTTCGCATAGCCTCGTTGAAAGGCTACTACTTCGTGCAAGGGTCGGAGTATTTAGGGGGCTAGAGGATATCGCCAGATCCCTTTTGTCCCATGCCTGAGAACTAGTCAGTGACCTGCTGCCGTTGGTCATTCACCTTTGCCCGAGAAAGGCAACTTTTGTGCAGAACACATGGCTTGGTCCGAGCTGGCTTTGGGGCTCGTATGTGTGTGACCTTTCGAATCCCTTTGCCATGCATCGTGACAGTCAGGAATATAACTTCCCAAGTAACTGCTACTCATCGGCATCAATGCGACTTGGAAATTCTTCTCAAAAGGCGCCGTGACATGTAAGACGCGCCAGACGAATGCCATCAAGGAAATCTTCAAAATCTCCCTGCCATTGACCCCCGCGAGTTATATCTTGAATACCTATCAATGCAATTTTAACGCAAAGTCTTAGACAACGTAAGAGGCCGCCGAGGAGCGAGCAGTGCTCGCCTGGGTGTAGCTAAATTTAACGAAGTGACTGCGTGCGCGCGCAAGGAAAGTTTTCTCGAAATTGACTTTTTCTGTGTCCCTCACAAATCATTCATCAGCTTCGCCTTAGATTTCGACTCGGGCCACATATCAGACGGGCAAACATCGAATGCGCCTTTGCGTTGACAAGTGCAGGGGTTGAAAAGCCGCAGAAAAAAGAATTTTCAACCTGAAGACTCTTTTCCGCCCCGAGTCAAATAACTCTCGAATGAGTCATTGGTGATTCGCGGCCGGACGGTGAAGCATTCTCGACGCCGGAAACTTTGAAAGGGGATGTAAACGTGTTTATAATCATAAATTTTCTAAAGAAGAATCCATTGCGACTCCGTCTTGTGTCACTTCATCTGCGTTCTCTTTGATTCTCGCCTTTTTTCTTTTTTTTCCGCTGGAGGGGTGTCTAAGCGCAAGGCTTGGGTTAGGGAAACTTGAAAATGGACGACAACTGGACTCCATCGTGTAAGAGAACAGCTTCCCGTGTTTCCGTAGTTCACTCTTGTGTCTAACCTTGCTGCTGTATATCCTAGCCTGGACTTTAAAGCCAGTAAAGCAAGAGGTTGTCTATGAAGACAAAGAGCGCTTTCAGGCTGCTCTGCAGAAATTGCAGAGACTACCGCCCTTGGTGACTCCTTACGAGGTATGTGTATGCATCATTTGACTGCTTTTACCTCTCCTCGTTCGCTACCTTGACGTTTGCTAATCATTCAGTAGGTTGCAAATCTTAAAGACAGTCTGAAAAATGCGGCGCTCGGAAGAGCGTTTGTCCTTCAAGGTGGTGACTGTGCTGAGCTCTTTGACTATTGCAACCAGGATATGATCGAATCCAAAATCAAGTTGATTTTGCAAATGAGCTTGATTTTGATTTGGGGTTAGTTGCCGCTAGCATATTTCGTCCGATAAAGGGGAGAATATTAGCTAAATCGGCGGCATTAGGATCGAATAAACCAGTTATTCGCATCGCCCGGATCGCTGGCCAATTCGCAAAGTATGGCTTTCCTTTGTTATCTTGACCTAAGACGGGCTTCTAACATTTCCTAGACCACGATCAAGCCCCTGTGAGACGATAAATGGCGTAACAATGCCATCTTTCCGCGGAGACAATGTCAATGGCTTTGACCCAACGCCCGAATCTCGTAAACCTGACCCGTCAAGGCTGGTTTCAGCCTATTTCCATTCCGCGGCGACTCTCAACTACGTTCGCAGTGCACTCTCGTCCGGGTTTGCGGATCTCCACTCCCCTCTGGACTGGGGTCTAGGACACATCACCACCCCAGCGATCAAAGAAAAATACGAAAGAATAGTTTCCCGACTCACAGACTCCCTCCGCTTCATGCAAACGGTCGGACTTGATACCGACCGCGGCATTGAAACCGTAGACTTCTACGCCAGCCACGAGGGTCTCATGCTCGAATACGAACAAAGCCTAACCAGACTCTTAAAACACCCCGCGATAGCTCTTCCAGGGTCGGACAACACCACCGCACGGCGGGCCAGCATGCACTCTAGACCTTCGCCGACTGGGTACTACGCAACATCTGCCCATTTCCTCTGGATCGGTGATCGCACCCGCCAACTTGACGGGGCGCACGTCGAGTTCTTCCGCGGTATATCCAACCCAATCGGCATTAAAATCGGGCCTACCATGCAACCCGACGAACTAATCTCCCTCCTCGACATCGTCAACCCATCCCGAGAAATCGGGAAAGTCACTCTAATATCTCGCTACGGCGCATCAAAAATCGCAGAGTATCTGCCCGCACATATCAAAGCCGTGCAGGCCTCGGGGCACGTACCAGTCTGGCAGTGCGATCCTATGCATGGAAACACCCGTGCGACTCCATCGGGGGTGAAAACCAGACATTTTACCGATATCCTATCCGAATTAAAGCAGGCCCTGGAAATCCACCGCTCTCTTGGCTCCTACCTCGGAGGCATGCACCTCGAATTAACCGGAGAGGCGGTAACGGAGTGTGTAGGCGGAGCAGCAGGTTTGACTGAAGACGGCTTGAGCGAGCGATACGAGACGTTCTGCGACCCGAGATTGAACGAAAAGCAAGCCTTGGAATTGGCATTTTTGGTAGCCGGTTTCTACCGTGAAGAATTGGATGAGCCGGTTGCGAATACCATTTGAAGCACAATCTTTTAAAACAAACAAAAAGGATACAGGCTCTGCCTCTGAGTACAGGTTTCGGGCTCCTTCTTTCCATTTCGTCTAGAAAAGCTCATTTTTCGGCATAAGAATAGTCATAAGCTTCAATAGAACAAATTCTATTTCCCATTATTGACCAAAGTAAATATAGCTAGACATCGCCGCCAAATGCATCTCTATTAGAATACTTGGCCGCCCTGTGGTGGTGGATACAACCTCGAAATTAGCCCCCCAGCATACCAGATATCAATATTCCCAAAAATCCAACCTAGAGCCATAAGCACCAAGTTATACTCCAATAACTCAAAACATTAAACGGGGTATTCTTCCACGAAAAAGGAAAAAAAGGAAAAAAAAAGGAAAAAAAAAAGGAAAATCTAGCTGCGACCGCTCACAATTGCCGCCCTAGAGGACTTCCAATTTTGGGTTTCCAGATCAAGCTCTTCCTTCTTGCAGCGTCGAGTCGAATTCTCAACGATTCGGTTTGCTCCTCATTATTTCCATCCACGGGAAACAGCCCCTGACGTAACTGCTTTGGCGGACAAGTCTGCTGCATCAGTTTTGCCCCTTGAGATAGATGGTATGGCGTGGTTGGTGACATCGACGTAGCCGGATCGTAATCATAGGAATACCCTGGTGTTTCAGGTGGCGCCATTGATGAACGTGGCCGGCGCTTGGGTTTGGGAGTTGCCAACACGTCTTCTGAGTCGTTATAATCTGAATCTACCGAGCTATCTCGTGAAGACCGGGGTGTGGGCGTTGGGGAGAGTCTCATGAACTCTTCCATTGTTTCCGGGTCGACGCTGGAGCGGCCACTACCCGAAGACGAAGAAGAGCAATCTAGTGTCACTACGGTCCCATTGACATTGCCAAGGGCTCTCGGCTCCATGCTCTTTCTCCGTTTCTGTCCACCACGCGGAAGCATGCTTATATCAACAGCATATTCCGCCTCGTCAAGCCATTTGTTTGACCTTTCGCAGCTGGGGTGGGATAGAATTAGCACTGCATCCTTGAAAATTCAGGGGAAGGGTGGGGAGGGACATACTCAAGAACCCAATTGACCCCAACACATTTCACGACACCGTTAGCTTCTCTAACTTTCTCTAGCGTTCGTACTCCGCCGTCTTTGAAAACGACATGGGTGATCCCTACTTTGCTCTCCTTTGGCTCGACCCCATCCACAGGGGAGAGACTTGTCCTTGGGTTCCAGTTCCAAGACTTTACACATCGGGCACCCATTTGAGTAAGAAGCTCAACAAATATGCCACTTGCATCAGCTCCTTCCTTTGTATGAACATCTGTGTAGACCACAGCCCCCTGTAAGACGCCATCATGCCCTGGAGGCTGCTTGCGTGGCGATTTAGATGGGCTAGAAGCTGTCGAGGGTGGTGCACATTTCGGTCTTTCGGGCAGTGCAAGCGTAGGAGGGGTATCAGGTTCGTCTTCAACGGGAATGAATGGTTTCAATGGGCTTCTAGCCTTGCGCGGTGAAGGTAGAGTTTTGCTCCTGGTGACGATTGGGGTAGATGGTGGCGACGAGTTGGCCCCAGACGAAAAGGATCGAGTTCTTTTTCTGGGAACTTTTAGAGATCCGTCTTCACTCTTTAAAGGTACTTTAGACACTGTATGAACAGTGCGTGTATACCGTGGACCCGATCTCACAGGTGTCACTGACATAGGAAGCATCCGGTGAGGGCTGTGCGGTTGGGGCTCATGCTGTGCTGTCTCTTCAAAAAACGCAGCATTGATTGTGATAGTTGGTTCCTGAGGAGCCATATTTTCATCCACACAACTTCGCAAATCTTCACTTCCATCCTCTACTATGTCTACTTTATGCTCCAGAGGAAAGGCTGTCAGAGTATCCTCATCGCAGTCTTCCAGGATCGTGAAGTTGCCATCATCACCGTTCAGCATATCGCCATCGATAGTGGTATCAGGTTCATGTAAAGCTGTCTCGCCCTCAAAAAGAGTTTCTTCAGCTTGGGTAACCACAGATGTGATTCTAGGGCCTTGGGATATCAGGTGCCTCATGGCCAACGAATGGCGAGCACTCTTTGCACCAAGCTGCTCCTCATCGCCGATTGAAAACATTCCCCTGCGATTTGGATACTTCCTTTCCTGATTATCTGGCTTCCATTGGCTAAGTTTGTTTGCCAACGGCGTAAATCCAATGTTCTCAGAACTGTCCGCTCCATTCACCAGACGAATCGACTGCCTCCTAGCTGGACTTCTGCTGGGGGTCACAGTAATCATGGATTCATCGTCTGATTCTTCATCAGGTAGGTCACCACGATAATCCAGCCGAGGGGAATAAGATGTGAACACCGGAGGTGACGGTGCCGGAGGCGGAACACCAGAAAAATGTCTAATAGAACTGATGCTGGAATTTCCGCTCGTAACCTCATATCCACGCGCTGGAGTAGAAATGTTAGATTTGTCTCCTAGACTTATAAACGGATCCTCCATATGAGCTGATAGTTGAACGTCCAGCTTTCGAGAAACTTCTGCCATATCAGACACTTGAAGTTGGTCGTCATCGTTGAACATTGGCTCATTTTCATCAACCATTACGTCGTCATTCATGTCCTCTCGGGCAGGGCTGTTTGATTCGCCACTTTCGGCCTGTCTCTTCTGTCCAAATTGAGTGTCTAGAGCCCGAAATTCAGAGCAAGAATCTTGCCCAATGTTGTTCACACTCGACTCACTGTGTTCTCCATCGAGCATGGGTGGAAACCTCTTGGATGGTGATATCAGTCGTTTCGCCGGAGATTGGAATAAAGACTTCTTTTCTTTTATCAGCGACTCCGAAGGTGCAACGGACCATTGCAAAGGAATCGGCATACCCTTTGGCTTTATCGCGGATACTTTCAGAGGAGATATTTTAAGAGCGGCTGACATTTGGTGATGAGTACTATCAATTGGTTCAAGCATGATGGGGGCCTTTCTCGGCGATTCTTTGATAGAGTCTTTGTAAGGAGATGGTGGGGGTCTGCGCGCAGGAGTGGATATCATAATCGAGTCTTTCAAGGACATCAACTCTCTTCCGCATGCCATCGTATCTTCCTGATCAACCGCTGGATTTTTTCCTCTAGGTATCGGTTCGGTTAATCTTCGGGAGGCATTAAAATCTATTTTCTTCGCCGGAGATGCCAAAGATGGACGCAAAGTTGGAAGCTTGACCGGTGATTTCCGAGGCGTCTTCAAAAAAGGTGCCGATTCTGTCCAGCTAGCGGCGCTGAAGGCACCGTCCGAACTGCCTGAAGGACTGGTTCTGGCGAGTTGATTTGGCTTTTTAGGCGATAGAGGTTCTTTTTTAACCTGGGCTTTGACGTTGGAGGCCTGCTCCTCGTCCCGGGAAACAGGGGTAACCGGCCGACGAACCGGTTTCGCCTTTAGGCCAAGTGCGGCCTTACCCTTCTGTTTCTCAGTCATTTCGGGCGGTAGAGGCTGGTTCTCCTTATCAAAATCTTCTGTCATATCCAAGAAGGCGACCTTTTTCTTGGGAGCGTTGGTGGTTGGCTTGCTCCGCGTAGAAACTGTCCGTGCTGGAGCGGCTACGGATTGCTTCATCCGAGATGAACCACCTGCGTTTGCTGCCTTTCTTCCTCGGCGAGCAATAGCCTGATTTGCGGATTCGGTAGATGATGCCCCGCCTTTGTTAGAAGCCAAAGTCGCTGTTTTTCTCGATCGGACGACTTTTCCTTTGTGCTGGCGGGGCTGCGCAAGCTCATCATCGTCGTCTTCACTATGCCCACTGTTCTCGGGCAAGCGGGGAGTTTCTTTCCTCGTTCGTGTGGTCCTTGTGCAGGACGAAGTTGAGGTCTTGGTTGACAGAGGCTTAGCTGCCGTTCTAACAGTAACAACATCAACTTCATCGTCGCTCGAGTCGTTGTCGACCGGTAATTGGACATGTTTGGCTTTGGGTCCTCGTCGTTTCGCGGCACCCCCTTGCGTGTCAGTCGCAGCGGGTTTGGTGGTTGGCTTTGACTGAACCTCGACGGCCGCTGTATTCTTTCGTGGTCTTCCTCTCTTCGGCGCTGTGGTGATCGACGTCGAAGCAGCCATCGCGTTGTTTGTTTCTTTATTAGCTTCTTCCTTCTCAGCCACGGTTCGCGTTCTCGCTCGGGTGACACGCTTCGGAGGGGAAGGTGGCTCAGGTGCTCTTCGAGCCATGTTGTCGACCTAAAGCTCTTAATGATGGAAATGGGTATGGAAGTACTGTCTAAGACGGTCTTTTCACTATCACCGCTGTACTTGAATCTCAACCGGATTCCGGGCTTTCGAGCATACTAAATGGAGTTATACTGAAGGACTGAATGGAATTGAATAAGAGCTAGCTATAATTAGCTATATGTATTAGGACACGAACTAGAACAAGTAGCATAGATGCAACAGTTGCGACGTGGACAGCTGGAGAGCTGGAGATCTGGAGGTGAGCGTTGAGCGACGTCGTCGGTCGTTTCGCCGAAAGCCGAGTTTGTGTTTGTTGTTTGTCGCCGTTCAGCGGTTGCCGGGGCAACGGATAACTAGAGTGAGCGATCTGGCTGGTCTTGGCGTAGGGTCGCCCTAGGGGGCTCACGATCCATAGAACTACGCTCAAGAGGGCGTCCATTTCTCAAGAAAGCAGTTGAAAAGCCTTGAGCCTGTTGCCTAGGAGCACTAACCTAACAAACAAAAGGAGCGTAGCCAAAAGCTTTTATCCCACTGAAAGAAAGTGAAGCTCCCTCCCCCCCTTAGCGTATATATCCGAATAAGCGAAACCTAAAATCCCATGTCGAGCCCCTTTATCCGATCAAGAGGAAAAGAATTCAAAGTATAGGAGAGATGAAAATAGGAAATTTGTAACTAGATGCGGGGAGGTCAAAAGAGGGAGCCAAAGGAAAATATAGGAAAGCTAGATCACTGGGTGGAAATTAGTATCACCAAGACGCCGCAATGCCTAGAACAACAACGGAAAAGACAACAACACTGTGCTTACTTGGAGAGGCGCGAATCCTGGCAGATGCGGCGCTCTTTGCACCTGCGCTGGGTGGTCCCACACTCGGGGCATAGTCCGCCGGAGTGGCGCTATTGACAGTTCCATCCCAACAATGTTTCTTGAAGCATTCCTGGCAGGCAGCCGGAATCGCGGTGCCTGTCCTCTCAAACGACCGACTCAAGATAGCGCATCCAACGCAGGTGGGCCACTCCTTTTCTCCGGTGCCGCCGCCCATGGTAGCCACATCATAGCCGTTTTTGATGATTGCATCCCGAGTCTCATTCGGGGTAGCTAGGGTAAAGGTGGAAATGTTAGAGAAGGTCGTGTACGGATAGTTTGGAATATAAACAACGAGAGGGGTAGGCTTGGTGGTGTTCGAGCTATCGCAGCCGAAGAATGTGGGCCTCGTATTTAGCCCAAGGTTCACAAATGTGTTTACGTCCGGCACTGCAGGGAACGATGTTCCGTTGGCAATTCCAGACGGGTCCAAACTTCTCTGATAAGTAGCTACTAGGGAACTTCCGTTTGGCCAATTGTTCTTGGTATTTGCAGAAGAGTCGATGGCAAAGATCACGTCAACATTTCTCGCCGGCTGAATTAGCGGATGAAGAGGGATATTTTGACCATCCTCTCCACCGTCAACAAGGGGGAGAGATAGCACGCCAGCGAACGGAGATGTCCCAGTCGCATATTGATAGAACGGGTTGGGGCTATAGTCTGCGATGTCATTATTTTCGTCTCCAAGGGCCTTCAGAATCTTCCGTAGCTCATCTTTGATGAACTTGGGTATGTCGACCTCGTCCAGACGAAGGGCAAATTCATTAAAGAGTGAAGAAGAGGTGCCCATTATATACCCAGCATTGTCAAAGCCGCGGACACACGATTCGCTGCTAGGAAGGACCCCAGCTTGAAACTTGGAGCCAAGATACTCAAGAGGGACGAAGCCGAAAATTGTTGGATCAAAAGTACCGAACTCCCACGGATTAAACTCGAATACAGTAGCATTTCCGAGGATAAGCTTCTCTCCCGGGTTCCGTCCATCGGCGAGAATGATTGGCATTGGGTATTCAGCATTCTGGAAATCTGAGCTCAGTGAGATCGAAGACCACGTATATGAAGGACCACCTTCTTTTGCATTGATAAACTGGTAGGAGAGAGCGCGCCCCCTACATTTTTGTTTCTGATATCAGTATTTTAGTTGAAGATGAAAAAAGAGGAATTTCCACCGCATACCAGTAATCCGTAATAGAAACTTTATATCCGGCGTCTTGTTTCCCAGCCACGGCGCTTTGAAGCTGCGCGTAGTACCGGAGGATGTCTAGGAAAGTGGAACTGGTGAATTTGGGGCCCTGAAAGATAGAACGGTGAAAGTCCCATGCCTTTCCCTCCATGCCACTTGTCAAGGCATCCACGGATGTCTCGTTATTCAAATACAGAGAGCCGACCAACCATCCTCCGCCACTCAAACCTGATAAATAGGTCGCCGACTGAAGAAGACCACCGAGGTGACCTTTAGATGTCGAACCCGCGGTACGAGAGTCAAACGCCTTTATGGCGCCGGCACCATTCATCAAGGCTCTATATCCTCCTCCAGACACGGCGATCCCAATGTTCGGCAGCTGAGCAAGATTTTCGGCATACTTCCCGATATAGGCCACTGCATCAAAATCGGGGATGAATACATGACCGAAGAAGCCAGCCAGTGCCGACATGGCCTTCTTCCTTCTCTTCTCCAGCCAACGGGCTTCGTCCGGAGAAACGGTGGCGGCACTCCGAGCGGTCGGACGATTGGCGGGACAAGGCACATTCGCGGGAGTATAGCCATTCGGAGCATTAGGCAGAGCTCGGATATGTACGTCTGAATCCAATGGAATTGCGGATGCCCCAGCCGTGCCTGGCCATTGACGTCAGATTCTTCTTTTTGATTGGTCGTAGATCCCCAAAGGTGTCACAGAACTAACCTGCAAGCAGAGCTGCTGTTAGGAGGGCATTGACAGCGGCCCCGATAGGTCTCATGATGACGCTTTATGCCAATTGGAATCAGCAACAAAAGAAGCACAACAGAAAGATTCTATATCATAGCCGTGCAAGTGGCTGACAAGGCTGGAAAAAGCGACAGACAGCATTCTAGATGCGGAAGACAATGTCTTCTTATTATACCAAAGGCAAAAATAAAAATATCGTCTCCTCCACGCGGGAGGAACGTTGCAGAACCAACATCTCCATCAGAAACTCCGAACTTTGCAAAAAAAAGCTTGAACAAGTTAAACAATCACCGCAAAAGGAGCTCTTGGTGGGGCCGTTGGCTGGTCTGTCATGAAAGCTAAATCGAAACAGCCTTTAGGGCTCCTCAGACCGGTTGGACGGGTCTGGGAATGGAGTGAAGCTATACCAAGAAAAGGGGGGAGGAGGGAGTTGGTTAAACCAAGTAATAAGTGGTATTGTTGTAGTTATGTCCATACTCCGTACATCCCATGGTTACATCGATAGCCATGGGGCACCACGACCGAAAAAAGAGGGAGACAGGCCGCATTAACTAGTTAGTTAGTTATGCCACACAGTAGTTACGTACGACCCTGATTCCCCAGCCGGGCGCCGAAGTGACAGCGCAAGCCTGCAGCGGTGCTTGTGCCCAACGCATCTCGGAAAGTTTTCGCCGGATTTAGCTATGAGTTTAGTGGCTGTCAACCCATCCCTGCACACAAGTCACAGCTGTATGTCATCCTGCGCGATCGGCCACGGGTCGTCGGATGTTTCGGTTGCGCGAAGGTACATAGTGAACTTTCCCCCAACTCTCTTCTACTCGGTACTCGGACGGGGGTTTTCACCCATGAAAGACCACGCTTCTGCTGGGCCGGATTGGCTATAATTCCCTATTCCATTCACTATTGAGAGGGTAACGAATACAAATCTCTCAGTAAACACAACATACCCATTTGCTTTTTGACTCCAGCCCTTATCGGGCTCATGTAATTTGACAGACGGAGCGCTGCTGCGCTCCCTGCCCCTCCCCAGCTTGCTGTCAAATTCGGTGCTTTTCGACAAAGCAATATGAGGTACCCCTCCCATACTGCAGATCTTTCTAGAGATCCCGTTGTTCCAGCCACCGCAGCCACAGCGAAGGCGGGAAATCCTCTGTACTCCGAACTCGGAACCGCAGCGTCGAGTGAGGGTGATCTCGTTGGTAGTTATCCAGCTCTACCAGCATGTGAGCCTCGGTGCAATTGTTTTGTTTCACTGACACATCACGGCATGAGTTGGGCAAAAGCTCCGAAAATAAGCCACAGCCCCCGAATGTTGTCTTGGGATGATCGACGGAAAACCCGCGAGCCAATCCCGAGAGAAGTGGCCTTCCTCGCCCGAATATCATATTGATGGAATCTTCAACCTTCCGGAGACGCAACCATGGTAGGGACTAGCATCCACCGTTAGCCATCCGTTTAAGCATGCCCCCCGGGCCCTCGCCACAAAAGAGAAAAGAAACGATACAGTAAAGAAGAAAAGGAAAAAGAAAAAGAAAAGAGAGGAAAAGAAAATATAACTAGCGGCTGGGACGCGGACCGAGATCAGAGGTTCCATTTCAATGGTAGGCGTTTTAAAAATAAGAACAAAAGACTCTTAAACACTTTCGCTCAATCCCAAAGAAACTTTCGAATGAGATCCGATGAGATTTACTGACGTTCACCAACTAACGCGGCCTCTATCCCATGTTCACCAAAGCAGCTCTCAAGCCCACCAGCCGCAAAAGTTCAAAGATTGACCCTCGATGATGGGTTTGTTGAATCGGCTTCTACATTCATTGCATAATTAGCTTACATGCCTCTTCCCGATCTCCTGCTCCATGAATCTTCCTCTGTTGCCACGAGGAGCTCGAAAGAAGAGAAAAAGTCCTTGGACTTGCAGTTGACTGCAAGCTGTCCGATGGTTGGTGCGAAACCTAGGTGGAAAATAGCATCACCTGTGGCCGTGGCTGCATGTCTCCTCGTGGCGTTTGTGTTAGGTGATGGGGATTCTGATCATTCCTAACTGTTGCCTGGATTCTGGGGGTTTTCGATCGACGGTCTTGGAGGCTGGCGAGCGCCATACATTCGCAATTCAAATACGGTACCTTACTCTAGTCTTTGGACTTTTGAGTGTAGGATGTTCGAGGAGAGGGAAAAAAAAATAAGGAGCAGGGCTGAAGCCACTTCCTCACCCAAATTACTCACTAAGTTAATGCTATTTAACATTCACTCCCTGGGGAGATTGTGTCCCTTGTGGCTGATAATTAAACACCTCGTTAGGGGATCCGGGGCGCGAATGGCATTTCCATGTGGCCACACAAAGTCTCTTGAGGGTAGCAGGAGCACTAGCTCAGATTTCTATCCCTTGCCGTACCTTTTCTGATGCTGAGGGTGGCAGGGAGGTGTCAGACGGGCCCTTCAAAAACCAGCCACCAGGGAGACAGAAGCTTTTGATAAAACATTACCACTCTTCGTGGACCGGAGCTAGATTTCAGCCTTACAGAAAGTTCAACGCAGTAGCCATACCATATCTGCTCTTAAACATTGGCACCTTGGCATCTACGAGGAATACATCGATTAGGAGGGTAAAAATAGCAACGGAAGTCTTTGATAGATCCAGTGACTGTTTTTGAAGACTACGTGAGGACATCTATCGTTATCTGAGCGCTGTTAAATATGACCACACTCGGTGTATCTCCGAACCCTCCCCTCAGACGCGTGGGCATAAGCGGCCGGAAGAGTCATTGTCCTGGAGAAAGCTAGCGGGGAGGAAGGAATTAAATCATCCAATCTTTAGAATCTCATCGAGTGCTGTAGAAACTGGGGGATCTATGCTCTTATCAAAGCGAGTTCAAGGCGGCAAACAAACAAGAGACTCCAAAGGGGCCTCCGGTGTAAGCCGAGCTTTACTCCAGGGTAACGCACTCTAGATCGTTCTGCCACCAATGCAAGGAGTGATGGCCTCGCAGTTCAGAGTGTAGTTCAGCCTAAACAAAAATCATGCGTACAAGCAGGGACTTCACCCCCACAGCGTTGGCAGTGTTCAAGGTTCTAGGTTGCGGGTTGGCCCACTCCCCCCAAGGACTTAACTAGCGCTTCTATCGAAATTCCATGCAGAAATCTCGGGCCGGCGAAAGAGGGGTGTGTGAGGGTCAGCGCCGATGCATTTCCCGGGAGAAGGATCGAACCTCGACAACCAGCTCGAATGTTAGTCGCCCCTTAGAGCCCCAGAATCATAACACCACTTTCGAGTCATAAAGACACTAATTCGCACCAGCAAAATGATGATGCTCGCCCAACATTTAAGCAATAGCTGCGACATCCTGTCATTCGCGACTGTTCTCTGAGTGCGGCACCCAAGATCACCACTCCCTCCGCTGGCTTGGCGGCTGCCCGTGGCCACCATACCTCATCGGAGCTTCCGCGTTGTCTCGTTTTCGGGTTTACCCGATTTGGATATCCGATAGCCTGGCTTCCCGACTCCGTGTCACTGACGACGACGACCACCAAGACCAAGATCGTGTGTGTCGCCAAGGCTGGCCGATGAGGCTTTCAAGCTCTCGGTATCCATTTTACAATCGGAGTCTATGACGCCTGACGGGACCTAATCAGGATCGCTTTCATCTGACCTCCGTCCATCGATTGGCGCTATCACTGCCAGTCCTCCAGGTCGATAATGCTGAATGCATCCTCCGATTCCGGTGAACGCAAACGAAACGGCACTAGCCTTTCTCTTCCACGGTGTACTCCTCCGCCCCCGAATGCCTATTGTCTCACTGGCCGCAAGGTTTGTCACAAACCACGAAGCGGGATGCTTGTTCGAAGAGGAAAAAAAAAGGAAAGAAAAACGAGACCATCTGACGAGCTGAAGCTGGTCGCTGGTTGTTGGTCGCGCCACCAACCTACGGGGCCCAGCGTAGTTAGTTAGCCCATGGGTGCCGAGCCATGCCCCCCAGCACGAGCGCACGCGTATACACAGGATCATTCGCGCTCTCTTGGAAGTTCCACAGAACTAGTTGTTCTCACCAACCACGGCCAGGCGCGATCCAAAATCACGATACATCTAATTGGGAAACACCGAGCAGCGTAGACTCGGAATGCTCGTCGATGATCTAACCTATTGGCATCAAACCCCACTCAAGCTGTCATCCGGCCATGGGCGACCATAGCCTGGAGATCAGCGGGAGCACTCTATATATTAAAAAAAAAAAAAATCACTCGGCTTCTAGTTTTCAGAAAATTTTCATGAGAAATCCTTCGCGCTTCCTTAGATACTGAAGACTGGAAGCAACAGCACCCAGCGGCCTTTTATATACTTCCAGCTCTCCCTCTTGTAAACGATAGCCCGTTTCGCATATCACCATGACAAACGATAGTGAAGACCATGGTCAAAACGGCACCGGGAGACCAGGGATGGCGCCCCGCGGCCCAAGCAGCCCACCAAACGAAGAAAAGAACCCCATCGATGCATCTCAACGGCCCTTATTCCTAGGAACCAAGAGAAGACTCCCCGAATTCATCCTCACCGACAAAGTCGTCCTTGTTTCCGGAGCCGCAAGGGGCCTCGGTCTGACCCAGGCGGAGGCCTTGTTGGAAGCGGGCGCTACTGTTTATGCGCTCGACAGGCTTGAGGAGCCAGTAAGTTTTTACTTTTTACCATGTAAAGACCCTGCTTCGTGGTGGCCTGCCCTTACGATCATCTCGTATCAGTCACCAGACTTCTATCGTATCCAGAAGCGAGCCATAGAGGAGCTCGGAACGAAATTGCATTATCGCCAGATCGATGTGCGCAATGCAGAGGAGCTCAACAAAATTGTCGAAGACATCGCCAATGAACAGGGCCGTCTGGATGGCTTGATCGCAGCCGCCGGCATCCAACAGGAGACACCCGCGTTGGAATACACAGCCAAGGACGCCAACACAATGTTCGAGGTGAACATCACGGGCGTATTTATGACTGCTCAGGCGGTTGCAAAACAGATGATTCGGTTCGGAAACGGCGGAAGCATTGTCATGATCGCAAGCATGAGCGGCACGGTTGCGAACAGAGTGCGTTTTCCCCGCCTATCCTTTCCCGATCTGGGATTCCTACCCCACCTTTTTAACCCATATGCAAACATCACAAACAGCTAATCGTTTCCCACGTTGAGCAGGGTTTGATTTGTCCGGCGTACAACGCGAGCAAGGCTGGCGTGATCCAGCTGGGTCGAAACCTTGCCGCCGAATGGGGTGTGCACGGAATTCGTGTCAACACGATATCCCCCGGCTATATCGTCACTGCTATGGTCGAACAACTCTTCCTTGAATATCCAGAACGCAAGACCCAGTGGCCCAAGGAAAATATGCTTGGTCGGCTGAGCAACCCGGCCGAATATCGGGGCGCAGCCGTATTTTTAATCAGCGATGCAAGCAGTTTCATGACTGGGAGTGACTTGAGAATCGATGGGGGACATGCTGCATGGTGATATTGGGGTTGTTGTTTTTGCGATTCTTATCATTAACGGTTTGGGATTTGTCTGGTGGATACGGGGGAGGCGGGCGTTTTGTTATCATTTCATTCGCTGGTGCATGCTCCGTCCGAGTTCTCTCTATTCCCTTGTCACGATCGACGCGAAAATGTACTGTTTAGCCGCGTATGTATGTATCTATATTTGGAGTACTCTCTGTGGATGTTTTCCCTTATTGGATACTCGAGCAAAGCGAAGATGGCGTTATCTAGTTTCTCGCTCACTGTCAAATTTGAGTCTAGCGGAGCCTTTCGAGCTGCATGAACCCAGGAGTGCTGCAGATGCAGGGATAGAAGACTCGAGCCGGAAAAAAAAAAAAAAGGACAGGGGTTCTCTCTTCCGGCGCTTTCACCCATGACGACTCCACATCACAAACGAACACGACAGTCCAATCGAACCTTCTGTGGTACGTTGAAGAAGAGAGGATTGGTAGACAATACGCGGAGAATCCTCCCCTCAACAAACGATCTGGATGGATATGTGTGAGTCACCTCAGTGGTGCCGCAATTTTAAAACAGTCCGAATGCCTAGGACACTGCGCAATCCACTGGGGGAAAGGGGCGCAGTTTGCAAAAACTTGTCGCCCTTTGCATCGATTGGATAGGAGGTTTCCTTCTCAACCCATCTTTGCATGAAAGAGAGGGAAGATTCCGTGCGTTTCGCTTCAGAATAACCCGCCTTTTCCTGTTGAGTTCGCCTTGCAAGGTGGCAACGGAGGTTCCTTTTGGCCCCAAAAATAAACAGCAAATAAAAGAGAATCTCAATAGGCAACGATGGGAGGAATTGCCATGCCAGATGATGCCATTGATGCTTGAGATAAGAGGAAATTGGAGGGGTAATTACAGGGTAAGAGTGCAGTTTCCCCAGCCTTGTTCTGCAGGACGCGACCTGTTTTTGATTTGAAAAAAGTCAATTGACCAGTAACTAAACAATGGAAAGTGACCTCTCTTTTGCAGCATGCGAAGTTAACTTTTTTACTCACCAACCTTGAGGGCTCCGCCAAGTACCCAAACGCCACGTACAGAGTCCGGAGGAGAATGGGGCACTCCATAACTATGTACTCCCGTATGGGTACTCCGTACGGAGTACAGAGTGCTTTGTTAATTTTTGTTTTTCTTTTCCCTTTTTTTATACTCAATCGGGAGTACTATGTGGGGTTGGGCAGCTCCTGCCCCACTAGCTAAAGTGAACTTCCCTTCCCAGTTCTCCATGATAAAAAGCTCACCATCGCGCTTACTCCAATTACCAAGATCTAAATACTTCCCTTTATTTGGCAATCGCCTGTGAGTGCGAGAGCCATTGCTCCTTCCTATGCTACAAAGCAGGCCCAAAATATACAAACATAACACACACACACACACACAACACACGCGCACAAAGCTTATGAGCGCATAATTTGCCTGCTTCATTCGCACCTTCCAGTTGTCTTTGGCTCTCATCACCCACTTCTTCCTTCTTCTTCTTCTTCTTCTTTCAGGTCGCCCGGCATTTCCCTCCCTGTTGCCAGGTTTCCTGGAGTACAAATTCAGCTTCCCGTCCGCTCTCAACCTCTCTGGCAACTCATATATCTTACTCCCACAGCAATCTTATCCCAGAGACCATCTGTACTCATCACCAATTCTTAGCTCTTCCCATTCACTACACCTTCGCACTCTATTCTTCCTCGAATCTTTAGTTTTTCTTTATCTATCATACCCGCAATGTCTTCTCCAGCGCCTAAAGGTGGCTATCGGGGTGGTCGCGGAGGCTTTAGTGGAGGTCAGGGCGGAGGTCGCGGCGGGGGTCGCGGCGGGGGTGGCGAGGCCCGCGGACGTGGCAGAGGAGGCCGTGGTGGTGGTGGTCGCCCTCACGCTGAACCGCAAGTATTCAGGTAGGCAAAGTTTTATCTCTCCAACTTTACCCAGCATGGGAACACGCGACGGCTGCTCACCACGTGTAAAGCCCGCCCGTTGCGCCAACACTTGATCTAGGCACAAAAACCATAGAGAACGAGTATAATAGTAAAGTTCGGGAGCCAGGGCTGGAGGCGCTCTCCCTGGATCGCCAATTCCCGCTTCGCCCAGGATATGGAACCCGAGGTCGACATGTTCTTCTGTGGGCAAATTACTTCCAGTTGGTTGCCAAGCAGAATACGGCCTTCTACCGTTACAACATTGAAATCAAGGCTCCAGGCAAGTGCCCTGAACCAAAGGGAAAAAAAGTGAAAAGAATCATCGAGCTGCTACTGGAAGATCATCTCCAGGAATTCCGTGGTCGTATTGCAACCGATTTCAAAGCAACTCTCGTCTGCCGTGATTCGCTTCAATTTGAGTCGCAGGTTTTCGATGTCGCATATCGCGCGGACAATGAGGATACGCCGCCAGCCGATCCAGATGTTTATCAAGTGCGTGTCCTTGCCACAGGGTCCATTGGTGTGGCGGACATCCTCAATTACTTGTCGTCTGCGAACCTAAGTGAAAGATATGATAGAAAGGAGGAAATCCTTCAAGTGCTGAACATAGTCGTGGGACATTCCCCGAAGACGAAGGGAAATATTCTCACCGTTGGCGCGAACCGCCATTTTCAACTGGGACCGAGCGCCGAGAAATCGAATCTTCAAGGTGGCCTTGAAGCCTTGAGAGGCTACTTCGTTAGTGTGCGTGCTGCCACCGCTCGGCTTCTTGTGAATGTACAAGTGAAACACATTGCTTGCTTAAATGAAGGTCCGTTAAAAATGGTTATCACAGCTATAGGCGGGAATTATAAGAGGCTACAAACTTTTTTGAAAGGCAAGAGAGTTCAACTCTTACATCTTCAGAAAGTTAAAGGAAATCAACGAATTCCAAGGGTGAAGACGATCACTGGTTTCGCGAATACAGATGACGGACGTGGTCTCGAACACCCTCCGCGTGTTGCACACTTCGCAGCTGGCCCAGACAAGGTACACTTTTACCTCAAAGGTCCTCTGAAAGAAGGCCAAAGCCAATCAGAAGGGAAAGGTGGTAAGAAAGGCAAACGCGGCAAAGGCAAAGAAAAAGATAAAGCCGGGGCGGTCCCTGACCATGGGTATATCAGTGTCTATGAATATTTCAGCCGTGCGCACAATATCAGTGTGATGGACTTAAAAATGCCTGTTGTCAATGTTGGTAGCAAGCAAAACCCAAGCTATCTACCGGGCGAAGTTTGCTATGTTGAGGAAGGTCAGCCTTCGAATACCAAGTTGACTCCAACGCAATCGCGGGCAATGATTAAATTTGCCGTAAGACCACCTTACGAGAATGCCAAATCCATCACCGGGAGGGGTACCCAGGTAATTGGCGTCGCTCCAAATACTCCGCAAGTGCTGGTAAGCTCTTTGGATTTCGTCTTTGCCATGTTACAGCCTTTTAGAATCGTGCGTATGGTACTAATATCTTGAGCAGACAAACATGGGTCTCTCGATCAGCCCCCATTTGATTGCGGTTGATGGCCGTGTTTTGGAAGGACCTGTGATTCGTTATGGAGAGAGTTCAAAATATGCAAAGGGAGCAAGCTGGAATTTAACAGGTGTAAAGTTCCCGCAGGCGTCCACGCTATCGCAGTGGACATACCTATATCTTCCAGGCGCAACCGATCAAGATATCTCGGAGAAGATCAAAGAATTTATATCAACCGCTGGAAAGCACGGACTCAAGGTCTCGAATCCTCTTCCACCAGTCTGGTTCGGGGAGCGTTTCTACGATAGAGATAATTCTGAGACGCTTGCTGACAAAGTTGATCGTGCTTTCGACGGACTTTTGGAAAGGCATCCGTATGTTAAATTTGTGCTCGTCATCCTACCCCTTGAAGACTCGAGCATTTACAACCGAGTGAAGTATCGGGGTGATATTCAAAATGGAATTCACACCGTCTGTGTGCTTGCGAATAAGTTCCGAGGAATTCAATATTGTGCGAATGTCGCCTTGAAATTCAATTTGAAGCTGGGTGGCACGAATCATGTTCTTGACTCCTCAAAATTGGGGGTCGTTGGGGAAGGCAAGACTATGCTTGTTGGTATCGACGTCACTCATCCTTCTCCCGGCTCGTCTTCGCAAGCACCAAGTGTCGCGGCCGTGGTTGCAAACGTTGATAAATATTTGGCACAATGGCCGGCGTCAATTCGCCTGCAGCAAGAGCCAAAAGCGGAAATGGTTGATAAACTTCAAGAAATGCTCGAATCTCGCCTACGACTTTGGCAGAGGAGAAATAATGCAACTTTACCTGAGAATCTTCTCGTTTATCGGGATGGAGTATCCGAAGGGCAGTATAATAGGGTCCTAGAAGAAGAGCTGCCTTTATTACGCAAAGCATGCGAACGGTTGTATCCAGCAACATGGACAAAAAAGAACCTTCCGCGGATTTCCATTATCGTTGTTGGCAAGCGCCATAGCACGAGATTTTACCCAGTGACTTTGAACGAAGCTGATGCTAACTCCAATCCAGTCAACGGAACAATTGTCGACCGAGGAGTCACTGAGGCGCGGAATTGGGATTTCTACTTGCAGGCCCATACAGCTCTCCATGGGACGGCCAAACCGGCCCATTACTTTGTTATTTTGGATGAGATCTTTAGAGCACGGAAAACGGGAGCTGCGACGAGCGACGCCCTGGAGAATCTTACTCATAACCTTTGTTACCTCTTCGGCCGTGCGACTAAGGCGGTCAGCGTTTGTCCGCCAGCATACTACGCTGACCTTGCTTGCGAACGTGCGCGACGTTATCTCAGCAGCTATTTTGACGCAAGTCCATCGGAAACCGTTGTTTCTGGACAAACTGGACAGGGTCCGAGTGAGGATGAGCTGAGAATCCACCCAAACCTCGAAAACTCGATGTTTTACATCTGAGACTATTGACCTTTAATGATCTTAGCGCCGTGAATTTGGTGGTTTCATTTGTATCTGTTCTCAAATTGACATCTCACTCTTACGCAGTATGAAACCTGGCTTATCTGTTCTTTTAAATTGTACCTTTTTATAATGGATTTTGGATAACTTTTAAAAAGCCTCTTGCTTATAGCATTGCGATTGGAATACACTGGTTTTCACAGAGTTTCATGGTCAACACGGATTCAAGTCTTAGGCGGAGCATCGATTTAAAAGGTGTTTGATGTGTAGCATATAATTGCATGAAAATGGAAGCAACGTACGGTTTTTCACCGACAATTACACGTTGTTAGCTGCTCAATGTTTGCTTTCCACCTTTGGCAGATCGGGACGTAAATGGACTCCATATCGTACAGCACATAGATACAATCGCGCCTATGATTGCGTAAAATAGAGATGGTTTCAAAATCACCTTTGCGCCTTTCACCTTCGCCATATCCATGGAATATACAAAAAGGCCCAAATATTTCCACCCATGCAAAGAAATCCCCAACAGATTAGAGAAGGGCGGTTGGGAACCATGACTCCTCAGAGGAGTTCCTAGAGTTCCCTTTTCTTTTTTAAAAAAAAAAAAAAAAAAGGAAAAGATTATCATTATCGAACCTCGCCCACAACCCCCTTCGCCCCTAATCTGCCGACCAATCCCGCCTTTAGCCTATAATGCCTCTCGATCATGTCCGGGCCGATCCCCTCCCTGTCCCTCATACCGAGAATCTGCTTTATGGTGACGACGTCGAGGAATTGACGGCCCGCGTGGCTCTGTTTGCCGAAGGACTCGAGTTCTTGTTCGGCGAATTTGGCGAGGTTGGAGCGGGCGGAGAGGATTTGGATGGCGGGGTTGGGGGGAGAGGGGGTTGCGGAAAAGGAAGAGGTGGAAGAGGAGGAGGAGCTGCTGCTGATGCTAGTGCTGGTGGTGGTGGCGGGCGGACGATTGAAGGTGCTGGAGTGAGAGAGGGTTGGGTTGGGGATTACGGGGCCTATCGAGCGGAGGGAGGCGGCGAAGTGTGGGTCGCGGGCGTCGAGGTCGATTGCTGTTGAGTGTTAGATTGTTCGTTATTTTTCGGGGGCTTCGGGGGGTGGGTAGGGGTTGAAGTCGGGGAGTCTGGTGTGTCTATGTTTGTGTATACCTTCGGTTTTTGTCCGGCTGGCCTGTTCTTTGGAGTGGTAGACTGGTCCCGCTTTTCTTTTCGGGGCGGTGGGTTCTTGGGCATGTGAGGTGGTTGTTGATGGGGAAGGCTGTTTGGGATACTGTCGTCTGGTGGCCGCTGAGGCTGCGGCCCGAGCGGGTTTTGATGCTGACGCGCCCATGTTATGTGAATGTCGCGGGCCAGGAGGGTGGTGTGCCGTTGCGGTGCTTGCAAGAATGGCTGGCGGAATGGTCGGCGGAGAAATTGCTTGGATTCCGCGATTCATTATTCGTGCGAGATGTGATTGGTCCGGAGCTCGCAAGCCACTACGGGATAGCAATGGAGCTATTTGGGCATTGCAACCAAGCCGACGACAGGAACACAACACCTCTGCTCTCGTTCTGAAATCTTGCTCGAACATGCTCTGGAGATACAAGTGCATGGAAATCATCCATATGGTAAATTCAATCTACACCCCTCCCCAGCACTTTTGAAGCCTATTTCCGAGGGTATAACTGTAAGAGAAAACGCAAAGCCAATAATTTACATGATCTCCGCATTAAAAAAAAAAAAAAAAAAAAAAAAAAGCGCAGAGCATTCCACAACCGTCTCCTATTATCGTAGGCCGGCTAACCGCCTTTCCTGAACCTCGCTGAGAGCACGACTGCCGCTGAGAACAGCCACTCCACCCACAGCCAGGACGACGGGGAGAGTCTGGAAAAGGTTCCAGCAGGTATAATACATAAAGAACACGGCCTCTAAGCCAAATATCGACGCCACGAATATAGAATGGGAAATAGGCGAGGATTTTAGAGCCATTGGCAATTGATTGAGGTTCACACCCAGGTACATCCACTATATTCTTAGTTCAGTAGATGCGCTTTCACGCAGGACCATGCGGTACCACTTACCAAACCTGCCAGCACGGGCAAAGATGCGAGGACGGCGATAATAAATGCAAGAGAAATAACTATAGGCGGGCTCTTGGGGTCCGTCTTGAAGATATGATGGATCTCATCAAGCTTCCCATATCTGAGAGTATTTGGAGTCGGGAGTGCATCGTTCGGGTCTCGCTTGATCAAAAGACGAAATACCGGACTGTTGTATCCCGGGGCAGAACCAAACGAAGCAATTACCAAATTTGCATCAAGCGGGTTCTCGGATTTCAGCAGCTGGACAGGAAGGTCTTTGTGCGTCTAGATTAACCGCCATTTAGTCGCCTAGTTCCGAGATCGGGAGATGGCCCAAATACTAACCAGTTCCAGCCTTGCTTTTCCACTATCTTTGATCGTTAGCGGGTAGGAAATATCCAGATTCGATGCGGTGTCTTTTAGGAGAAGGAAAGCCTGATGGGGTTTCTTCGCGGTGCGGCCTTCTTGGGCTGTGAGGAAGAGCTTCAACGTGTCAGCTTTTCCCAACGTAACCGGCTTCGACAGTGGCTTCTTGTCCGAGAATCTACGCAAGAGCGTTAACATGATCCCAAGAGAAAATCCGCGGGGGAGTCTGACTTCTCTTTCAGCCCTCCGCCAACGCCAGCACCTTTCTGTTGAATTGACAGCGTGGCGTCACCAAATCCCCAGCTCGCCGCGGCCAAAGAAGGTGGAAACGCAGAAAGGGCCAAAAGGCCGAATTGAACTAGCGTGCTAAAATGCATTCTCGAGTCTGTTGTGACGACAACCCGACAAACCCCCAGGAAATCGTGGCCGCAATGGACAGGCCTAGCTAGCACTTCACGACGCCAGACTCCCAGGCGATACAGAGCTCCGGCGTTGCGCTTGCGTAACTGGGCTGTAAGTTACGGTAACCCAAATACAAAGTTTACCAGCTTTACATACACGTACTCCAGCCCTAAGCTAGTCCAATACGGGGTTAGCGCATCCGAGACAAGTGAAAGTTGAGATCTTCAATTTTTATGCCATGATATGCTAGAGGAGTGATCTAACCATACACTGGCCCTTATTAGGGGCCATATGCGCCGCTCAAAGCCCATTCTATCTTTCATCTAGCTCTTACTCCATTGATGACCCCAGAATACCTATGCACATGAATGATCTCACCTCAGTTGCATCGCGCAATGGGAGCAGTACTAGCTCTGTGCAATTTGTCAAGGGCTTGCTCCAATCCAGCCGCGCGGTCGCGTTGACATCCCTAGATTGACCTGGGAGTCTAATATTATAATGCTACAAGTTGCCCTTGAAATCAAGCCTAGCACGAAATCCTAAAGTCTCTCGTCGGTTCTTGGGAGCTTGGCTCAAGCTTCACTTGACACTCACATTGATGAGAGTCTGTACTTTGCCCATATTCTTGCGATTTGGGAATGCTACTATTGATCAGGCTATCAAATAAATCACCCACTCAACAATGACTGAAAAGAATACCATTCCATTGATAGCCAAATAGGCCAAAAGAGCTTCAAATTCACATAGTATCCGTCAAAAGGCAATATTGAGCGGAACATCCCATTGAACTTCCTTATAGCCTAATACCAACATATTCACTAACACAATAAGATAAGCATCATTCATACATGCTGAATTGGCAGCTGAATGAATAAATACCATCAGAATGGCCTATTAAGCAGTGTGCTACTGCCCTCGAGGGCTATATCAAGCTTTAGCGCTCTCCCTTCTCTCGTTTCTTTCTCTTTTTGCTTCGAGCCTTGACCCCCTCCCACTTCATGCTCACTTCAAAAAGCCACAGACTCTCTTCTCATCCTCCTTTCACTTTTTAAAAATAAATAAATAAAAATGGTCCGAGCCTCGACTCGAATAAGAAAGCCCTCCCAGCGGGCCAGGGAGGCCGGTTACACCTCGGCTCCCCATAGCCAGGTAGCCGAGAAAAGGGAGCTGGCGAAGCGAAAGACAACCCCGAAGCCACGAAAGCCGCGGGCGGCAAGTGGCAAGGGAAAGGGGAAGCAGAAAGAAGGTGTGTGTGTCTCACATATCAACTAGATAACGCCCATCTTTTTTCTTAAATCAGAAAAACGAAACCTAACAGTTTTCCTCCTTCTATACAGAGGTGGTCGAAAGACCAGTTTTTTTAACGGTCCTCAGAGAAGAGGACGAGCGGGCGGTTTGCCTGCTGCTTGAGCTGGCCTCGGCAGCATTGGCTCCGGATTTCAAACCGGAGGTGGAGGTGGATTTGGAGGCCCGCCGAAGGGCGTTTTACGCCAAACTTCAGAATTAGGCGTGGTATGTGAATCAACTTAAACCAAGTCCTGGTTCTGAGCTAACTTATAAAAGCAGGCGTTGGGCGGTTGGGGGTTGGTGTTTCGGAGGACGGGCGGGTGGGCGGCCAGGTCCTAGAGGATCCTGTGTTGTGCTTTTATTTCCTGCTTCTTTCATTTTGTTTGGTGGGGGTTTGGTGCAATTTGTTTATCACAATGCATGAATATGGTTTGTGTTTATTTTCTTATGCATGCCTCAAAGGCATCTTAAGTATGTTGACTTGAAGTCGGAATCAACGGTGAATTGGCCTTAAACGAGAACTCCTGCTCCCTTCTCCATACTCCTGTAGTCACGCCTTGGGATTCTCCAGACGTGAGCATCCAGTTCAAAGGGGTGCGCTTCAGAAAAAAGGCAGCCGAATAGAAAGTCAGAGTGAGAAAAATCATTACAACGTAGAAATACCCTGGCGGGCCAGAGACGAGAAATCATGCTTCAACAGAGATTCCCATAGGAGAAGAGACAACTGTACATATATTTGCAGTCATATGTACCAGAAGACAGACATCATGCTATCCTCTTTCAAAAGGACGCCCCGAAAACTGTTCTGGGATTCGAATAGCGACACAAAACCTCCAATGACGGGCCAGGAAAGCGGGCAGAACAAGAAAAACAGGCACAAGCGCACCAGAGACGTTGAGAAAACAGCTACTGATGTAAAAGAACAGCCGAATTGAGGATCTATGCCGAAGGATAGAATTTTTTGCCGCCGACGTTGCGAGAACGATGGTTAAAGAGACATTTTGAAAGTGGTCGCCGAGCTAACTAAACTAGTTAGTTTAAGTTAGCTTGGTGTGTCGGGGAATCCAAAGCTCCGGGAATTCGGGGCCAGGAAAGACAATTGCATCACAAAAAAAGAGTAACAGCGTGAAAGACAAGGAAACGTGCCACAAAACCAACCTCCAGAGGAGAACTCCCGTGCAGGAAACCCATCCCGGGGGATTACATTTGTATCCTCGCACCCGGCACACTATAATATCCTTTCCACTCTCTGCGCCGCCAACTCCTCGGCACCACACTGCGTCACTTGCGTGCCCTTCCCCCTCCGCTCCGCCCGCCGAAGATCCCAGCGCTACAATTCCAGACGTAATGCCAGCGACTTCCACACCACCCAAGACGCCAGCATCCAAACTGGCGTCCTCAATATCCAAATCACGACAGGTCCTCCCTGACCCAACTAATAGCTTCAAGCCCGGCGCAAGGCAGTCCTCTCCCACAGTACGAAATTTCGATCAAATCACAAGGATCGGAGCCCAGCGGAGCATGCCAGCCCAGTCAAGGCAACAAGCGGCGGCGCAGGATATCCGTAATTCAAAGCCATATAAAAGTTTTGCGAGAAGGTGTGTGATAGTTTGACATATAGAGGCATTTGTCTCCCGATTTTTCTTACTCCCAACAGACGAGCGGCTAATCTAAGGCGTTTCTTTCACGGACTAGATGGACAGCAACGATCGTCGCATTACCTATTCTGTTATATACAAGCTACGCGTTGTACGAAAGAGGTGAGAATGCTATATTCCATCCTCTCGCAGCTCAGTGGGCAAACGCTAACCCAGTGCCTTCTGTGCAGTATTCTATGATAAAGAGCCTCGAAGTCTACCGGGAGTGAACGCCTTTCCACAGCCGGAATCGTCAAATCAACCTTCTGACTTCATGCCCCAATCTGCGACAAGCAACGACAGCTCTACGCCCTAATTCTTGGTCTTTGTATTATATATTTCTTCCTCGCTATTAAAAAGTGCTTGCTCCATTGTTATTTTTATGAGGATTCGAGTATAGAAATACCCCCCTTGGCTTCTATGTTAGCGACTTCATATCCTCGCTCTTATTAAGGCGCTATTGCCCGCATGTGTATATAGGGATTGGGCTTGGTCTATAAGGCGACTTTGGTGTTCGGTGGCTGATGTGTATGTGTGACGCTCCTCTCCTATGTTGCATTTTTCAACTCCTCGAATTCGATTTACCTTTTCATCCATGTCACCAATAGCTTTGATATGCTCTTGGCAGTTAAGATGTTATCAGAAACATGCCGGAAGCACTTGACAAACAGTGGAAAAGCTGGGAGGTCATATGCTGATCAAAGCATTTCTATCGTAGTATTTCCATTATCAGATGAGATATGTGTAACCATATTAATTGAAAAGAAAACCGTATCATCCCTTGTCGCAATACCTCATTCGCCCCGCTTAGTCCTTGTTCATGTCATCTATCATAATTACATCATCAAGTCGTTCCCAAAATTCACCCATTCCTATCAAAAGGTCCCGAAGTAAAAAGAAACACCAAAAAAGAAACATTTCACTCCCCCTTAACTATTACCCGATTTCTTAATAAAGCATCTGTCCCACATTCCCCTGCTCGCTGCATAGCTCAGCCCCTTAACAAAATCATTAAGCTCGCACCGGCCTAATGAGTCCACGTTACACCCATGGAGCGGATAAACACGATCATTTAGCAAGATTCTCACAAACTCGTCATCCTTCCTTGGCGACCAGTCACACTTCATCTTCTCAACGTAAGCCCTACCGGCAAACGGGACCGTCCACGACGCAGAAAATCCGTCCGACTCTACGGGGGTCCGGATGCGGTCAAGGGGGAGTGGTCCCGTGCTATTGAACAGTCCCAAGGCCGTGAAGATCGTTATCATAGTGTTATCATGGCTGAAGTCTGCGTAGAGAGTGGCGTTTAGCGGGAAGGTGGTCGGGTTAGAGGTAAGAGTGCGGTTGGTGGAAGTCGAGTCATTGACGGGGGTGTTTGTGAGACGGGCTATGAGTTCGTTGGTGAATCCCATGCCTTGCTCAGCACCGAGCGGGCTGCCTGGCCCATATCTGTAATATTTCCCAAGAGACTGGTAGTAGTCATAGTCAACCCATTCGCCTGGAGTGAAGAGTTGGCAGAATGGAGATAGTTTGCTCGCGTCGGGCGTCAACATCACGGTGTGGAAGGAGCACATATCCATGAGATAGATCACATCTGTGACCGTAATATTGGCGCCAGGGAGGTGAGTTTTCACACGCTCAAGGATTGGAGGGGCAAATAGGTCCACGAATTTATTCTGCTTCTCTTTTCCTGAATTATCCTGTTCGAAGTTTTCGCATAAAGAGTGGTCAAGTGTATTGTTACTCGACTCTCCTTCAGGGATGATCAAGTTGACGATAGGGGGTCTATCCTTCTCGACACCATCAGGATCAAGGACCAAGGACTTCTGGAATCCTTGAATAAATCTCTCTGCTGACTTGATCACCCTCGGAGACCCGGCAGCTCGAACGAACGGTCGTATCTCCTTCGCCAGACCCCTATAGCGATCGTAGAATTTTGCCCCAGAATTGAAGAGTTGGGTGTTCCCGAATTCTGTCATATCATCACTCTTCAGCGTATACTCAAAGTTTTTCAGGAACTTGAAGTCGTCCTCATAAGACTTGCTAGTTTCCTTGATCCGATCAAAGAGTTTTGCGTAGAGCTCGGTTTTCTTCTTCGTGGGATACCTTGCTCCATGCCGGGACAGGACTTGGGCAAAAGTAATAGTGCACCCAGACGGTACATCCGGAGAGATGGGAGACTTGGACTTCAGAGAAGAATAGGGGGAATATTGGCCCCAGAGCTGAGCAAACGGCTGGTTGCACTGGTATCCGAGCTTGAAACTAGTGCATTTAAGATCTCGTCTCCGAAACACTCGTCCATGGAGGCTGCCGTTGAATCAGTCAGCACCAGTAGCCTCACTTGACCAACTGACCTCCCCCTGATTTACAAGTGGGTAGCTGTGGTTGGAATGGGAACGAAATGAACCTCAGGGAGAAGAAAGGAAAGCAGAATACATACAACGGCGCAAAAATCCCGCCAAAAAGAACCAGAAGCATCAGAGTTGTGACGACGGTGACCAGGTTCAGTTTGAGAAGCGTGGCCAAAGTACTCTTCTTGCCAAGCTTCGAAGTAATGCCGCGTCCCCCGTGCACTGAATTGTTAGATGCAGGCAAGACGTCGGCGGGATGAGAACCCAGGCCAATTGACTCTTCATCATCCCGATGCGACAGCAAGGCCGTACGATCACCAGCTTGTTCCATCGTGAGAAAGAGTTCTTGACTTTTTGAGCGCGGATCAACTTCAATTAGGAGGTGAATCCGGGAGCCTTCCACGATGGAATTTCTTCCAAAAAAAACACCGTACGGTAAAAAGTGAAAAAAAATGCTCAAAAGAGCGGGGGTATCATCAAAAGCAACCAAAAAACAAAAGAAAGGAAATTAAAATGTGAAAGGGAACGGGATGTGCGGATAACTATACTGTCACCTGCCAGCCATTAACCAAAAAACCATCAATATCAAGAAACCCAGGGAAAGGTCAGACACAAAAAAAATAAAAGTTACACAAATATTAAAATAAACGGCTCTGCTCCGGGATCCTACAACCCTTATCCCAAGCCCAAAGGAACGACGAGGGCTCGCCGGTCACCCGCACCACGCGAGTGACAAGGGAGCGTGAAGCCAGGCACAGAGAGGGCGCGCGAGAGAGATAATAGCGCGGTGCTGGCTCGGGCAAGTACTGATGATGCTGGTGGCTGTTCAATTGACGCAGCCACGTTCGCCCCTGATTGGCTAATTGGCGCCCCCCGGAGCACGTGGCCCTGTCGGCAGCTGGTACAATTAGATAAGCACAACTGAGGATCTCCCGAGAGCCGCACCAGCAGCCATTGACAGCGAAGGAAGGATGGGCACGTTGTCCCGGGGAAGAGGGGGTGTGTGCGGGCGACACAGGCACGGCTGCGCGGCGACTCAAGGCGGGAAGCAAGCCGTGAGACCAGAACTTCTGTTGCCGTGAGCCAGTGGTGAATTTCACCGTTGCTTCGTGGTCTGTGTCATAGATCAGGAGGGGAGAAATAACATACGTCCAGAAGCTCAGTAGTGGATGTGGGCTAAATATAAAAATAAAATAAATAACGGGGGGGGAGGGTATATTTAAATGAAGGAAACAGAATCGGCAATTGACGAAAAGAGAGAAATGCTGGGGATATAAATAAATTTATTGCCAGGTGGCAGGCGGATTTTGAGAGCAACCCTCAAACAAAAGGCGTGACAGCCAACAGAAAATGCTTGGCCTTCCTTGACAAGGCTTGTACTCCCAAGGCCACAATTCACAAGTCGCTGTCGGCTAGCTTCATGGTGTCAGGGCGGGCACCCAGCCTTCCACAGCATCGTTCGCAGTGGGTTGGGCTTCACTATCTACATACTTTCTCCTCGAAAGTCGCTGTTGGGCTGGATTGACTTTCTCCCCCCGGATTTGGGACCTCGAACGCTCCTGATACAGAAACAACAGGAACAACTAGTCAGCTAGAAAGTTCCGGCTTTTCTTTTCTTTTTCTTTTTCTTTTTCTTTTTCTTTTTCTTTTTCTTTTTCTTTTCTTTTCTTTTTCTTTTCTTTTCCTTTCCTTTTCTTTTTTCCCCCCCTACCTGGCATAGAACTTAATTCCTCTATTTTCTTGTCCCATGTTCAGGCAGGAGAATTGATTGAAAATCTCCATTTCCTGTTTCCACCAGATCCATGCTGCTATTTACAAACCATATCAAGCTCTACGCTTCAGATACCATCTACCAGACACAAAAATAGTGGTCAAAATTTAGGCTCTATAGATCTCCATCTGTCGCCGATGTTTCTTCCAGATACCCTAATTGCGATCTTGTGTTTCTCAAAATTCCCTTTTCACTGCAATTCTATTGAATATCTCGTCGGCGGATCGGCCCGCCCAGACAAGTCCAAGAATCGTGTTGAATGTGCAAGCGTTCGGCAAGGAGTGCTCTTTGCGAGCCTCTACCCCATTTCAATTCTTCCTTAACCATTCGTTAACGTGTTTCTTTTTCATCGAGTGGCTGGGAAAGGAATTCTTTTTCGCCTTCAGCAAGGCTGTTTTGTCAGTTCTAATTCTGACTTGCATACTCACTTGGGACATTTGGCAGCATCACACAGTGCTCTGGTTCCCACCCTTACAACTGACAGCCAATTTTTTTTTTTTTTTTTTTATAAAAAAAAAAAAACACTACTTTTTAAAACCTTCTTTGATATCCTGTCAATGGCTTAATTCAGGACGCAGTCCTCCAATGATGCATCCTGGCTGGTAAAGCTTTGGTGTCATTGAGATGAGCAGGTCTCCCAGCAGCCTACGTACGTTTCAATCTTATCAGCATCTAGCGAAGCTGAGTTTATCACAGGCACCCGGCACGCTATCACCCATGAATTCATCTACAATCAAAATGATATTTCGTACATCCACTTCTTCTTTGCGATTACGTGGTCTGCGGACAGAACACTCGAATCCTAGGCTTGGGCTACAAATAAGGACGTGCTGGGGCCACCAGGAACTCGAGACCACTCCGATTGTGTCCTCAGAAAACGGCGTAGCCGCCTTGGCAAGGTGCAGAGCAAGAGGCGAAGCAAAACAGTGGATGATTGGCAGCAATGATGTATGGTGTGTGTTGCGGCGTTTACTCCTGTGGTATTGTCGGGTAGAAAAAGACGAGACCCGTCTGCCATGAGGTAGATACCTCTTCTATTCTAACTGTCTATCGTTACTCCTCACTCCCTCACAACTGTATTTGCCTCGAACTGTGTATTCCCGACTTCCCTCCCGGACACTTAGCCAACGATGTTTAGAGCATGCCAAATCATTAAGCATGTTACTACCTCTCTCGGAAAACAAATCGCCGTTGCATACGTCACGAAGACCGATACTTGGGAACGCGCATTTCTTTCGCAGACCGTCCAAAACGAGTTTCTTGTAGTAGCAGAAAAGTACAATGATACTCTGAACCGAAACAGTCAAAGTGGCCATGAAGTGAGTTCTCTGTCCGACGGTTATAGCCACTTCTCTTACACTTGACTAGGGAGCCGAAACATCCGAGCCGGAACATCCGAGCCAGAAGTACTTGGCATCATCACAAGTAATATCTCATTTGCATAAAGCCTTGCACACACAGCGAGCATAGGGAGCCACGAAGTAGGTTGAGTTACATGGGTAGGTTTCTTAGGGGGGTGGGTTGCGAAGTAGAAAGGGCCATGATAGCGCGCGTAGGAATTTGGAGCGGGAATATGGCGAGGAGACGACTAGGGAAGCTTTATAGTTAGTTAACTAGTTACATCAAGGGATTTCAGGCCGCTTACCTAAGATGTCTAACGCGATGGAGGAAGCCAACTTCGTGAAACGTTCACTGAATCAAACCTGAGAAACAATTCGCGTCGTCAACAGTAGTTTCTGCTGACGAAAAAAAAAGACTGGCCTTTCACACTTTCGAGTCACTCGGCGTGATCAATCAGAAGGAACGCGAATATGTCACCTCCACCCACTGAATTGATAGGTGCTGCTGGACGCCGCTATCTCTTCAAGCAACTGATTCAGGAGAGACCGCATCTCGGCCGCGTCTGGTTGGCAACGTGCGGCCATGCCCGCTCCCTCGTGTAGCAGGTCAACTGACAGTGTTCCAGATCCGGACAAGACAAATTTATCTTAAAAGATATCCCAAAGCCCATTTTCTCGAGCCTCAATGAGGACATACGCCCGCGACTTCGTGAAAGCCAGTTTTTACGATTACCATATGACACCATTTCGGATCAGCGGATATTCGTGTACAAGTACATGAATGATGACATTCTGACTCTTGTTAGAAATCAAATACCCATTCAAGCCCGGAAGCAGATTCTTAAAGCCACATTACGTGGGATTGCTGAGCTGCACAGCCATGACATTGTCCACTTAGGTGATGCGAAGTGAGCACTCTTCAGTTGCCTAACCTAGACCTAATCCCCTCTAGATATCAAACCTGACAATATCATGGTTAACTATCGTGGTACTGGTCCAGAGACTATTGTTGAGCAGGTTCAGCTCATTGATCTCGAAAACGCAGCCTATCTCCCTAAAGGGAGGTGCATTAAAGGGATGTTACCTGGCAATGATAGCTGGCGTAGTCCAGAGGGTTACTTTAAGGGAGAGCTTAACAAGCCTACTGACATCTTTTCCTTCGCAGCTGTGGTAGGTTGTCCCACTTGAGAGTGGGCTCTAGCTAATTTACTCAGTGCATCTACGCTATGCTTGGCCAAGTTATCTTCGGAGCTGATGACGATTTGCGGAAACATGAATCACAAGGTGCATTCCCTCATATCATTCGCCTGCAACGTCAAGTCTCCTTTTTTTGAGACCGAGAAGGATTGAACGGGCTCATGAAGCACGTTGGAGATGAGGAAGTCAACTGCCAAGTCATAGGATGTCTCTGGGATGATCGAGTGGCAGAGTAGCATCCCTACAAACCTTTTTCAGACTGGCCGAACGTCGATGATGACAACTTCAAGGACCTTATCCGGAGAATGACGAACTTGGATCCTCGGAAGCGTGCAACAGCGCGTGAAGTGTTGGCGCATTCCTGGTTTGCTGATTGCGACATTGATTAAGCCCCTTGAATATGATAGTCCCCGGAATATTGCTAGCATCGGACGGCCTGCTCCCTGTCTTCTATATCGCCCATTCTCCCTCACCAACCCTTCCCTATCCCTTAACTCTTGTAAACACAGCTTCCCTGCTCCCTAGACAAAGTCTCTTTTTATTCGACAACAAGACTTGGAACGTTTCTACCTTTGGATAGACGCTGCTTTCCTAGCTGTCCCTTTCCAGTTATGCAGTTTGAAGTGGCTCGAGCGAGCAAAAAGGGAATATATTTGAAAAAGAGGATGGCGAATTGTCAGCGCAATAAATAATAATTTCGTTTCAGAGATATTGTAACATTTTCTGCTGGCAATGTAAAGCTCCAGAGTTCGGGTCCATAACTGCGGACACTAACACAAGACTCTCGCCCAGGCGTATTAATTAGTTGAGCGTCCAAAGTACGCTCAAATATCCTGCTGCTCCTGATTTTCAACCCTCCGTGCTCCTAATCTTCTCTCATAGTAATTTAGCTGTTGAATTAGGCTCTGATCACCCTGATCCTGCTGCTCCTCGTACAAGTGAAGCGTTTTTACCAGGTCTATAGCCTCCGAAGTGTTAATCTGAGGAAGAACTTCCATATTTACCTCATCCTCCTCAATTTCAGCAGTATCTAATTAGAGGCCCTCAAACCTTAAAATTACCTTTTGGGTGGCATTTTTAACTCGATATAACGAATTATAAAGGAAATTTTTGAAGATATTTAACGAATATTTGTATGAGGATTTAATTTTGGAAAGGATTTTTGTTCGTTATAGCGAGGGTTTACTGTATTAAGAGATAATAACTTAATCAGAACAGTGGCTCCACCATGGATCCACCATTGCCTGAACTTCCCCGATTCCGGTAAGGACCTGAGGTCGCCCTGGCGATCGCCATCAACAACAGTGAGCTCATCTCACTAGAAGTTGATCTGCACACACCATTGTACTGTGTATGTGTAGTGCGGAGTATACGTACCCCGCGCTCCGTACAGAAATCTTATCCAAGATTGCATTAGTGCTCTGCACACAAGGAGGCCGGATTGACGACTACTTGCTCCGGCCGAATATGGTCACCGTCCACCCAGTTCACCATCTCTCTACGGAGTAAGATGGCCAAAAAGGTCCTTGGCTCCGGCTTTCAGGTTGAGAAATGTCCTCGCGTCTTCCAAAAGTAAACACCAACTGCCCTCTACTGTTTTACGTGCTAATATGCACCCAGTCCATCCGAGTACTATACACACACAATTTAAAGCCATATCCATGTTCCTAGCTACTCGACATCTGAGTTGAGAGCCATCAACGCCGGAAAAATCTAGTCGCCTACAGCTTCGAATCTCCAAGGTACCCATTCGCTTTGAGCCATGATTCGACGTCCTCCCTATCGCGTTGCAGCCAACCAGTCTTCGCACGGACGGAATCCAAGCTTTGCTCCAGAGATCGGTCGAAACCCTATTCATCATTGTCAGATATTAAAGTCCAGCAAGGCCCTCCCTAGATAGCAAAGAGGAAACACTCACCTTCTGGTCCTTATCCTTGAAGAACTCTTGCACATCATTTAATTGCTCCTCGGTGCACAAGCTAGCAGTGCAGAGCTGTACGACGGTGCTAAGCATGGTGAACGTAGGTGGCAGCCTCTTAACCACGGTCTCCCAGTTGGCCTTCAACCATTCCCATCGCGCAACGATGCTGGGGGCATGAATTCGAACGCCAGAAAGTGGCATATAGATATCCTGCACCCTAACTTCATCCGAAAGAGCCAGCGCAAGGGTTCGCTGCACCAGTTCTGGTTGTTGAGCACTTCCCAAGGAACGAAGCGCTGTATTCTTCTCGGTGGACGTAGGGGCATTTCTGTATCGATCAAGGATGACATTGTATTCTTCCTCTCCACCATTGCGGAGAACAAGGTCAAAGACGCTTCCGCGAAGATTAGGGTGAATAGCCGAATAGTCCCCAGCAGAGAACCGACTGAACATATCCTTGGCAGCGTCAAGGACCTTTTGGTCACCGGCAGCTCCAGCAGCGCCGAACATCAAAGCCTTGAATTGCTGCAAAACGTGGCCATCCTCCTCAGAGAACTCCCAGCCGAGCTGATGTGCCTTAGCGCTGACAAGGTTGCGCTGGAAGGTCTTCAGTGCGTCCTTAACCTGAGCATCCTCGAAAATCCATGCACTGCGAACGGAGCCCAGTCGAGTGAGGATCTCGTTCCACACCACGAATTCCGATTCGCTATCAAATCCTTTGAGTAGGGAAAGGCTGCCTGAAGTCTTCTGGTATCCAGATGATGCAAGCACCCCGGCATCAGCAATCATCCCAGCCCTATCCTCAACGCTGAGAAGCCCCGCCTTGGCAGCCTCGCCCAACTTTTCGAGTCTTTCCGGGGTATAACGGGTTCTGAAGATACTTGAGTGGTCAGCATTGAGTTTGAAGAAATCCAGCTCCGGAAGCTTGATTTCCCGTTCCCGTTCTGCCAACATAACGCTTTCGTCAACACCTTCCTTGCCTTTAAGTCGCAGAACAACCGGGTACACTGTTGCATCTTCTTCCGGCCTGACGTCTCCAGTTCGAAGGAATCGGTTTTGCTTAATGGAAATAGCCTTCTGGTCAGGCTTTTCCTGCACAGTAACGACGGGATATCCGACCTGCTTTGTCCAAACCTCCATAACCGCCTCGATCGGTTTGCCACTCACTTTACTCAGGGCTGCCCACAAGTCCGTCGTTGTTGTGTTGCCATAGGCATGCTTCTTGAGGTACAACCGGATGCCTTCCAGGAACTTCTCTTCGCCCATGTACATGGAAATCATGCGCAGAACGGCAGAGCCCTTAGAGTAAGAGATCGCGTCAAAGATTTGATTGATCTCATCCGCACGCTTGACAGGAACTTCGATGGGATGACTGCTTCTCAAAGAGTCAAGTGCAAGCGCCTGTTGAAGATCGTTCACAACATAGCTCTGCCAAACCTTCCACTCAGGGAAGAACTTGTTGCAGGAGTACCACGACATCCAGGTAGCGAATCCCTCGTTGAGCCATAGGCCGTCCCAGAAGTCCATAGTCACCAAGTTACCGAACCATTGATGAGCAAGCTCGTGCTGGACAGTCTCAGCAATTCTCTCCTTTGTTGCTGCGCCGGTGGTCTTTTCATCGTAGAGTAAATCCACGATACGATAGGTGATCAAGCCCCAGTTCTCCATGGCACCAGCAGCAAAATCAGGGACGGCGACCATGTCCATTTTTGGAAGAGGAAACTCGCTGTCAAACGCTTTCTCATAGAAATTCAGCGTTGTGGCGGCGAGATCTAGGGAGAATCGACCATGCTCGATGTCTTGATCGGGAGTCGCATACACGCGAATGGGGACTCTGAAGGCGTTGGTTTCGATATAGTTGAGCTCACCCACTATGAATGCAACAAGGTATGTCGACATGATCGGTGACTTGTTGAATTTCACGGCCTTTTTTGGACCGCCACTCATCTTGGAATGAACTTCCTCTTCATGAGCCACGTTCATGTTGCTGATGCAAGTTAAGTTCTTGTCCGCGATGAGAGTGATGGTGAATTCAGCCTTCAATGCCGGCTCGTCAAAGCAGGGGAACGCTCGTCGGGCGTCGGTCGCTTCCATCTGAGTAGAAGCCATATACTTTTTATTTCCACTGGCGTCCTTATAGGCACATCGGTAGAAACCAGCCATGTTGTCAGTCAATTTCCCGGTGAAAGTCTGCTTCAACTTGGCTTTAGAGCCTGCGGCGAAGGTCTGGTTGAACTTCACGGTCGCTCTCTGTTTATCCTGGTCCAGCGAAAGCGAAGAGGCAGACACTTCGCTTCCATCGTCCAAGATGATGGTTGACGAATGGATGTCAATGTCCACGGAGTTAAGGGTAACAGAGGTGCTGTCCTCGACGACATCAAGACTGTACAATGGCAGTATATATCAGCATCCATGCAGCAGCAAGAGAAGGAATCTCCGTGGGAAATGCAACGTACTCGATGACCACTGTCCCGTCAAAGGTGAAGGTCTCGAAGTTGGGCTCCAGAGTCAGGTCGTAATGGCGGGGCTTCACGTTAGTAGGGAGAACCTCGCGGTTGGCGGCGATGGAGGCGGCGCCTCCTGCGGCATCGTCTCCCATTGCACGACACATTTTTCGATAGGAGCAGTATCTCTTGAACCGGCGAGATCCAAAGAGGGGAACACGCGGGGTAGCTCTGAGGTGGGGTGAGCTAATCTGGAGGGAAGTAGATCTGGCGCCCACGGAGGTGGAAAGGTATCTGAGACTGGCTCTGGCGGATCGAGTAGCGGCGGATGTAGCTCGATAAGGAATGAGGAGTCGAGGGGTATAGGATTGGGGTTGTTTGACGATATTCACGAGAGAGTGAACATGTCTATGATGGAGGGGTAGCATCGATGCAGCGAAGGAACGACGGACACCGCTAGTTGGTTGCCCGTTAAAACGCCCACACGATCCACAGAGCTAATCCTGCGTAGAGACCGGCAAAAATACGAGCCTTGTCCCCGGTTCTGGCGCGCAGGAATATCCCGATGCCCAAACGCAAACCTAAAGCTACAGAGTGTCGCGCCGAAGACGACAGCTTGCACGCAATGTAGTGACCGGCTACGGCAGACGGAAGCGATGCTGGATAGCTGATGACTAGCTCACCAAGAGGACAACCTGCTCTGCCTATGCAATTACATATGTTCCCTGTTGCCCGCCGGTGGTTTTCTTTGTCTTGCTGGCTTTCTGCACTTCCGAAAGCGGCAACTCGCCAACTTTTCATCAAAGCAGCCGAAGCTGCTTATGTCATCGCATGGTGGCCAATCGCATTCTGCTGCCAAGAGATCAGAGCCTATCCAATCAACGCCCGTTCATTGATGACTAGTCTTGACAGTTGAACAGGAGGAAATTTGATGGAGGAACTCAAATGGATATGCTTGCTATTAATTGCTAAAGCTACCTAATTCTGGAACTATTTGTCGAGCATCTCGTGCGCATGCATGAATTCCAGGCCGGTAGGAATACTCGGTAAATTCATCGCCACATCGACATCTTGAACACCGGATGCAGGTAACTGCGCCGTGGGTGGATGAGCTCTGGCTCAATGGCGATATAAATCTTCAAACCAGCAGGCAGTTTTCCGGAGCCGCACGGTCCTCTACCCTCAGTTTGGCGTAGACTCTGCAGGCCTGCCACATCAAATTTCAAAGTCAATTGGCTACTACCATGATCGTGGTGGTTGCGATTCCGATAAAGGCAGGGATAGACGGCTGGGGTGTAGGTGTACCCAAATTTTCTAGCCATCTACAGTCGAATCAACAACTCCTGCCTAACAATCATATGGCTCTATCGCTGTCTGTTGATGGATGGCCTCCTCCAGTGAGGCGGAAACACCGAGCTGACGGGAAACGGACCATGCGGCTGCAAAAGATACCTTGTTGGGCTCAAGATCTCTATCATCGTAAAATCATATCGTTAGGCAAGCACGCCTCTACCAGCAGTTCGCCGAACAGTGGCATCAGTGGCTGTGACAATAACCAAATTTAAAGAGGGAAGGTCCAGGTAGGGGCTAGGTTTCTATGGCCATAACATTCCGAATGCTTTCTGGCCGTTCGTGAAGGTCCCAGAACAGGTGGCGGATTCGACGAAGAAGATGATTATTGAAGCAAATCAAGGCAAGGATATTAAGGAGAAACAATATTTTGTGATCGCTCTAGTTGGATTGTTCCTCCTTGCATGAGCCCTCAATGTTGTCAATACCGGAAAGCTCCAGTTCCGTGATGGCTTCAAACAAAGTGATGCGTGCATGCACATTTTCTACCATTAGGCAACCAGCAATCCGCTCCAGTGTCTTCGCAGTAGGGCTGTCTTCTACATGTAGAATAGTTCTGACAGAAACTTTCCGTAAGCCCAAGTGTCATTCGATTTACGCACCTCATACGGGAATTCGCTAAGTGATATTCCGTCTCGGATCTCCGGGGCACGCCACCCCTGTGTGATTCCACCAATGCCACTGATGTCGATAAGCACTGCATTTCCATCCGCATCCAGAACAACGTTCGAAGGCTTGATATCCATGGGAGTTTTTCCGGCCATGTGGAAACGGCCTAATGCAGTAGCAATTTGTTTTGGCCACCGTTTCCAGGAATATCCAAGCAGGTGATGTATGTTCAAGGCTCTCTGGATAGAGCCACCACTGTAGAATTCCAGCACAATACCAGTGACTATCAGAGGTTGATCCCTTGTGTTCGATGTCATATAAGGGTTTGCAGATACTGCGATACCGGCTGCTCGTACACGGCGTGCCTCGGAATATTTCATGGTTTTTGAGCTCTTCGCGTATGACCTCCGTGTCATAGGGCTTATAGAGGGGCCGGTTCACAATCTTGAGAATATATGGCGTTTTGCTGTTGACGTTGAGGACTTGGAAGACTCCGTCCGTGATTTCAAACGAGTTTTCTGGCACTGTAGTCTATGAGCCTGACAAAGTTTCGGAATTCTTTGCGAACGTTTCTTTTTCAAGGTCCTATGTTTTACTGTCGGTTCATTCTGTAAGTTGTGAACCTCTTTTATCCACCACTTTGAGTCTCTCGAATGGTAAACCAAAGTCTGCGAGCGAATGTTAGCCTCAAGTTTTCCATCTATAAGATAGTCCTCATTTTCGCTATATGACTTGAAAATCGAAGTCAGCAATCTCAGTTTACAATGACAGGACTGACAAGTTATGAAGTACAGCCCTGAGCACAGTGGCATGATGCAAAAGAGGGTGCTCTGTGCGGAGTACGGAGTGTTCAGCTGTGTTAGGTAATCCAACCCATAGCAGAAATGGGGAGGATTTGTAAACCATAGATCCACTAGTCCTGATATGTTTACATCGGAATATATGTTTATCTGAATCCACAGTTGTTTGGAAGTTTAAAAATATATATGTTCTGAATTTGGAAACATAGCTTCCAATCCTTAACATAGAAATCAGGAAATGTTGAAACCCCTGATCAATAAATATATCTAGGAATGTTTGGGATACCTTTTTGGGTTTATAAATGTGGAGGGAAACCATTATAGTATAGAAATCATTATAGTATAGTTACCCCAGCAGACACTGGAGAGAGAAATTGGATTTCAACTAATATGTAATACTATATACATCAAACCACCCAATCCATCTATAAAAAGAAAACACTCCAAGTACAGTTGAGAAAGATAGTCAGCAGAGCAGAATCTAGTTTGAGTCTTTCAGAATCTTTACTGACAGATATAGTGTAAAGGCTTGATTTGTGAATTGCAGGTAGACCAATTATATGAATCTCATCCCAATTCACCTGCAAAATCAGCAAATTTAGTACTCTCTTTGTGCTGAATTTCATAAGCAGAGAATATAGCAAAAAAAACCCTTCAGCTGCTGCCCTGGTTGTGAATGAATATACATCTTATTTGTCTGATCTTGATGCTCAATGCACAAGTATACTCAACCAGATTATTGAGTTTCAATGTAGTGCAATGCACATCTTTATTAAATATAAAGATTAGCTTTTAAAACAATCAGATTAGAGTTGAATCTCTGTCAAGCATATGTTAATATGCCCAATCACTGCTGTATGAAAGTTGGAGCTTTTGCAAAAAGAAATATGTAACTGGTAGTTCAGAAAGCTGTGTGCTTTGTAAATCAAGCAATTCTATAACTTTACAGCTAGCTGGTAGTTAGCAGTAGGCATTGATTAAGATATGAAAGAGGGTGATAGCATATGAGTCATCAGCTTCATCAGCATTCTCATTATCATCTTGTTGCTTATTGTGTTCCAATCACATAAAATCTTGCATGAGAATCAGATATTCACAATAAAGTTGCTTCATCTAGCTGGTGATATAGAGTTTCAATTCCATAAGAGCCTCATCAAGAGTCAAGAATATAGTGCATTTGAAGCTCTTATAAATTAGTAAAATCTTTTCAATATCATACTTGTTGGTTTGCTGCACAAATACTTTATATTCACAGTATTTATTCTTCTCAATCAGTATATTGCAGTTATTTAGCACAGCATACTTCTTTGCCTGGTTAGTATAGTGCACCTCAATATGCATGTTTGGTCAGTGTTTCAAAGCATGTAATATCTTATCTGCTTTCAGAGCAATACTGATGGTGTTGATTGAAATATTCTCTGTCAGGGGTGTAATAATCTGATTGAATACTGGTGAATTCTGTTATAATCTTAGTATTTATACTGTCTGACTAGCCAACTGTGATGCTTCAGCAGCTATAATAGTAGTATCTATCACTTTCTGAAGTATAGTTCAGGCATTGGCAACCACACTTTTAAGTTCATTATACCCAACAGATATCTGAGAAGTTAATAGTGAATTATTTCTTGCAATAGCACCAAAGATTTTAGCAAGCAACAAACACAGAATATCAGAATCAATTAACTGTTCATTAAAGAAGTTATAGAGAGCCTGCTGAACAACAGTCTAAATCCAGTCAGACTTTAGAGCAAAGCAGAGTATAATTAGAATCACAATTGAAGCTTGAGTATGTTTCTGAATTTGATAGAACTTCAGATAAATAATTAGAAACTGCAGTCAGGCCCAGCATCTTCAAAATAGAAATTTCTGTAGAATTTGGCAGTATTTCTTCTGCCCCTCAGATATCAATATATGTGATATCAATAATGTATGTGCAATTTTGGACAGGTCTGAAAATTCACTATAACAGGGGTCAGAGAGAAAAAATGTCACCAGATTCAGTACTGGATAGATCTTCAAAACTGGAGAACTTTTCTTAATTAATTTATAGGTCTTCCACAGTGCTTCTTACTTCTGAACAGTCCACTTCATCTCACTTTTAGCCTGCAAATTGAGTAACTGATAATGATATCAGCCATGTTTCACCAAGTTGAAATTTATATTGAATCTCTCTGCATCAGAGACAGTATAGCTCTGACAGAAGACTGTTGTAGTAGAGTATTTAATTTCAGCATTATTATTTTGCTGTGGCATGTTATCAAGATAAGTAATACAAGAAGCAATGACTCTGACAGTTTCTTCACTATAATGTCAAATTCTCTTTCAACTACTTGTAAACCAGGAGCCAATGCCTCTACAATATCAGAAAAATTTGTAGCATGAGACCTAAGAGTAATTATATATACATTGTTTTATCATCTTTTTTTGGAATCATTAAGTTCTGCAGGAATTATATAGAAGTCAGTTATATTTTGGTACATGTTCTGATATAGATCAAATTCATCAATAAACAGCTGGAAGAGAATGAATATAGTTCTCTTGATAGAGTCATCTGGGCAGAGCATCTTGATCAGTATATTTCTTCTGTATGCTGTGATTTCCAGTTCACCCTGGAGTGGAGTGCTAAGTTGGAGCTCTTGTACAGATAATGTGTCATGAATTGTATTCATCACTCACTATACAAAGAGCTCATTTGTTTCTGAGGGTTTGTAGCTACCCAATCCATTAAAGATATAGTCAAGATGGACATCTAGTCAGGCTAGAATATTGTCTTCATGTATAATGTGAGTTTCCTGATCTTCCAGTAAGAGCAGCTTGTTCAGGCAAAGCAGAGATCTCAGAGAATGAATTCTTTTATCAAAGCTGTTGGCAGTAATAGTGTACTGAATAATAAGAACAATTTCACCAGATTTTGTGCAGGCCAGTTTCTGATTCCAACTCACAAATTAAATTCTTCTGATATGAATTTCTTGTTTATTTTAAGTGCATCTACATGCAGCATTGTTGCACCTAAAACAAATAAAATCAAAAGAAAAGACTGGTGTTCTGTCAGAGTACCATGCAAAGTCACCTGATAAATATCTAATAAAGCTCCCCCAGCTTTATGATTGTCACAATTCAGTCAGATTGTTAACTAGATTGGCCATACCAATATATATCTTCTTGTGAAATACAGGAGACCTTGCCAGTAATAATAAAAGAGCCACAGAATTCTGAAAGAATAAATTAAATGTGAGAGATGTCTGTATTAGTTGCTTCTCAGCAGATGAAAGAGTTGGCATTTTCAATGAAACAGTCAGTATGAATGCCTGTCAAATGGGAAGCATAGAGAATTGAGCTCTGCATTTCTTCTTTAATGTGCTCAGCTCTAATAATAGAGATCTCAGTGCACTAATATCTTCAGAAATCTGTAAGACTTCCCACAGTGTCTTGTAGTGTTGGCAAGATATTCCCAATTTTTCACACCATAATTCTAAAGCAAGTATTAAGTGGTCCAGCATTTCATCAGACTTCACACACACATGAACTAGAACCTTCAACAGGTCATTCATTATAGTTAGAATGTAGATCTCAGCTGGCTGGTTGCCCAATGAATTCTCTAGTTATGAATGAAAATCAGAATCTCCATTGTTAACTGGGTGCACTGGATGTAATATAGTCTGTAACCAGAGTTTGGATTCAGGCTCTTCATACTGTTGTGATTCATTGTTATTAATTAATTCCATGGGTAGAGCTGCCATTACTTCTTGTATAATCTCCTGCACTCTGATATCTTCTGGTTCAGAATGAGTGTTGAATAGAGTGTCAGACAGAGTATCAGAGACATCTAAAAGACTTACTGTATTCTGTACACAGTAATTAGAATGATGCAGACTGACAGAGAATTCAAGATCTTACATTCAACTCTGACTTCTCAGTTTGATTGTTTGGCTGAATGTCAGATTCTACTGAAGATAAAATGTGATTGTAATCTTGCAATTTCTGTAATAAATAAGCATGCTGTCTGTGTCTTCAAAACTGCAAGACTGGAAATAATAAATAAAGTCATCTTCAAAATATATAGTTCTGTATGCACCTCACATACCTCAGATATTGTATGTTTGCTTGAGGTTTATACACTGGTTTCCACAGTAATTAAGTTTCAAGTTGCAGAAACAGTAAGGGTTGCTGCAGAATTTCTTTGAGACAAAGTATATAGAAATTAGAAAGAAAATTGCTGTTTAATTAGGGAATTGAATGTATTATAGCAAAGTTAAATGTTAGAGCGGCCACAAAATGTGCTAACTGTGCTACAGATCAACTGTAATATCCTGATTATCTAGACCTGTAATTAGCTCTAAGGGATGCAAGATCAGTAATGATCTGCATTGTTCTGGATAATTAATCTATTTCAAAGAAATCAATCACTTAGTGGTGTTGAATTTTAGAATGTAGAGAAATATAGATACAGATCCAAATAGCAACTTGGGTAGTTGAATGCACTCTGAGTCAACTATATAATAGATAGTGAACCCCTCCAAAATTCAAGTATTTACTCTTGTTCATTCTCACTTCACTCTGAACCATATCAATCTGATAGCCAAAATGTTGGAGACACAGAGCATGCCAGTGCCAAA